TCTCATGTGATCTTGTAGTTCTCCTGTGATCTTATAGTTCTCATGTGATCTTGTAGTTCTCCTGTGGTCTTGTAGTTCTCCTGTAGTTCTCCTGTGATCTTGTGAGAGAGACAGAGTGAGGAATGACTGAGGGTGAGGAAAGGAGCCACAGGACTGGTTTGAACCCAGGCCGTCATGGAGGTCCACAGCCTCCAAACATGTGGCAGACACACTAACCACTAGGCCACTGGCGCCCCAGCTGATGCTTGTTGCATAGAGAAAATTGAAAATATTTTAAAAGCTATAATTTCCAGTCATGTTTATACTCTCTCATTTATCATAATCACGTTCTTACTGTTACTGAGTGATGAGTTGGATGTTTATGAAGACAAGTCGACTCTTCACCGTCTCTGCTCGCGCTGTAAGCGTCAGCCCCGTGTGTCTGCAGCAGGTGGAAAATCTGGCCCGATGCCTTGTCTATAGCTCAACCTGTTCCGTAAGCCGACAGCGCCAGGACTAATTAGCCTAATCACATTCAAATTATTCACCAGCAGACGCTCATTTATCAGGCAGAGAGAGAGGGAGAGAGAGAGAGAGAGAGGAGAGAGACAGAGGGAGAGAGAGCAGCTGAAAGAGACCTTTAAACAGAAAATGTGTCAGACTGAAGCCGCAGTGTGTTTCCAAATATGAGTATTAACTGAAGATGTTTTCTGCTTCCAAATGTTTGTGCTGATATCTCAACAACAGAAACTCTGGCACGAGAGGTTTTGTGTGTTTGGAGGATTCATCCCGCTGGGAGGGAAATAATGTGACGACAACAGTTTGTCTAACGTCGCGTCTCAGAGACAGCCAAGCTGCCTGCAGCGTTATTCACGTCTCACTGTGTGTGTGTGTGTGTGTGTGTGTGTGTGTGTGTGTGTGTGTGTGTGTGTGTGTGTGTGTGTGTGTGTGTGTGTGTGTGTGTGTGTGTGTGTGTGTGTCTTAGTATTATAATGTGTGTCACACTTTTATTTGTACTTTGTATTTTGTGTGTTTGCATGTTTTTGCTCATGCAGGTTCACATTTTGGTGCTTTAATCCTCTCCCTACGCATCACCCTGCTTTGCCTGTCTGTGTGTGTGTGTGTGTGTGTGTGTGTGTGTGTGTGTGTGTGTGTGTGTGTGTGTGTGTGTGTGTGTGTGTGTGTGTGCGCACGTTGATGAGCAGCCTCGGGGGGTCCATTACGCCTGTGACAGCCCCACAGCAGCAAAGCAGGCATTCAGATAACTTATGAACGAAACGAGCCAAACTGAATTCACAACTTGTGAATTATTAAAGCGATTACACTTCTGTGAAGATCGCTAAAACTCCCAAACACAACAACAACAACAACAACAACAACAACAACGGCAAGGGCCTCCTTTCTACTGTCACTGCTGCCAAGAGACCTTATCTCCAAGCATCAGCAGAGGGAGGGGCTGCACAACTAGAGAACGTGTCATGTTCTCAAAGTTGATAAAAGGAAAACGCGTTATGGATGGAAGATGTTGCCTTGTGGGAAAATGCTCATTGTATGGATTTTTTGGTGAATTTAAGAGAAGTCTGTTTTTGTGAGGAGTAACTTGAAAAGATGGCACGACACAGGGACATAGAAAGTCCTGAAAGTAGAGATGGCAGCTGACCACACTGAAACAATCGACAGGCGTTAACAACAAGAAAGCAATCCAGAAAACCAGAGAGAAACGGCCTCTTCAGGACCAGAGGACTCGCTGATGTCACAGTGGGATTCTGGTAAAAAAAAAATACTTCTCCTCTGATATCTCCACCCATGGACTCCACCCCCAGCCTGGAACTAAACTTTTGCGCAGCTCCGCCATTCAGGAGATGTGAACACAACCGTGCTCAAACGAGGAAGTGGACCGCTTAATGACGTCATTCCAAACGCCTCCAGTCGCTTTAAAAAACCGTTGTATCCCCGCAGCACGCTCTCGTTTCCTCCTCTGAGCTGCACGGTAGATGCGGACGTAGGAAGAGGGTCGATGTTGGAGTCTCAGAAATAACAATTACATCCACAGTTAGCAGGATGGACTCAGTCTGCGAGTGGTTACCATGGTTACTTCTTCTTTTTTCTGCTTTTTTGTGGATTTGCAAACCAACTAGACTTCAAAAGTTCAGACTTCAAAAAAAGTTTGGAAATGTTAATTTGGTCACTTATTTCGCCCTTTAAAAATACTAATTGGTGTTGTATTATATATCGTTGGAAAGCCTGATTAGTCACCTTTACAACGAGGTATAACTTATGAGGATCATGCATTCGTGGAATGTGTAACACAGCTAAACGTGTGGGTAGCGCACAAAACAAATGGGCCAAAATCCCCTGCAGCGTTCTTTTGTTTGTATTGAGGAGTTTATGTGCATGCTGCCCCCTGCTGTATCGAACATACACAAGAGGTGCGGGATGATGTCACTGATGTGAACGCAGACCAGCGGGGGAGGGGCTCGGTCCTGATGTGAAAACACCATAACTCCCATCTTCTATCCAAGTCCACTGCATGGGGATCGTGTTATGTAGTAAGAGGGTGAAAAAGAAAGTCACAACCACTCGTTTGCAGATAAGGATGTTTTCTTTTTTTTCTGTCCCTGATACAGCAGCATGAGTCATGACTCAGAGCGTCAACTAACCACTGCAGCTTCTTTGCTGCTCTGAAAGTGCGACTGGGAGGCAGTCTCGGGGAAAAGAGAGTGAATGTAATTAAAAGAAGAATTAAAAGCACATTGTAACGGATACGGCAGGATACGGCAGGACGCTCTGCATGTCATGATCGTAAGCTGGTGCTGAAAGGCGTTAAAATAAAATACTTTTTTATTCTTCAAGTTTGATGTTTAAGCCGTGGTGTAATAGTTCCTGATTAGGATGCAACTTAATGACACTTCTGGAGTCGGGCATGAAAGTGGTTGAGAATTGGTTTATGAATTGTTAAAGCCCCCCCCCCCTCCTTCTCTGTGCTGGAGCAGAGGTTGTAAAGTAGGACACATCCTCTCCCCCTCAGAGCCCAAACAACAACAGGAGCGCCTCCACAGCTGCTGTCAAACTCAGTTAAAGAGAGCGCGCTTTGCAAAATACTTAACATCCGGCATATAATATACATGAGACCCTAAAAAATGAGCAATGAGGTCTAATGGTGCTCGAGAATAAGTGCTCATGACTCCTTTATAGCTCAAACGGCGAGCTCGGAAACACTTAAGTCAGAGAAAATGTCCGGGGAATTATAAATATTCTTCACCTGTTTACATTTTCTACATCCCTGTGTGGCTTCTTTGGCGGAGAACAGATCATTTGTGCTCAAGAAGACTGAGCAGCAAGTGCTTTTTTTTAATCGATTGACACTGGAGCTACCTTTGTCAGCGTGGTGTGTGTGTTATCGCAGACTCTCAGGGAAGGAGGAGGGGAGTCTTTAGGGCAACAGGACCCTGAACAAGACATTTTCAGGTCACCATGTCTGCACCTTTTCCATCTCAGGTAGCCTCGTTTCATCTTCCAGTTGACTCTAAATGGGACCATAGTTTACTAAATGAACAGCCTGTTGTGTTGAAGAAGACTTGAAACTAGAGATTAAGACCATGAACTCATCATGACGGAAATGTTTACCAGCCAAATGAATCAAGTGAAAAGAAGGTTCACTTCCTCCTCATTTACCTTTTACTTTGTTTTGATACAGTTGCTTTTCCTGCCATTAGGGGGCAATGTTGCAGTGAAGCTACAGGTCCAAAGCTGTAGGACTGAATCTGTCATCCTTTTATTGGATTTTTTTTTTTTTAAGTCAGCCTGGTTTCAGGAGATTCATATCCATGACTCTGTTCCAACCAAAGTTCTCCTTTCAACATAAATAACAAATCCAAACACTAACACCAGGCGGTGGAGACTGTTTGTTGCCCCTGCAGTTTTTCAGCATTTTAAAGTGGACAGACGTGTGGAGATCCGAGCAGAATTTAATTTATAACTTAATCAAATATTAAAATCCTCACTCGTCTCTGCCAGAGACCATAAACCAGGACATCTGTTCCCCCCTGTGACACATAACGACGGCCTCTGTTTGACCGTCCGAGTTCATCAAACGGCCTCCCTCACTATTTCTGCACCAAACTCTACGGCAGCACTCGCAGAGTGTGCAGGAACTCAACCTTAAATGTAAGCGTCTTAAGAAGGTGCATATACAGGATACACTTGAACTTGTGAGAGCGCTAAGTAGATTATACATGAGGGCGGTTTGTGAAGTGTTTACATCGTATTTATGTGCAGTTCTTGCATATTTTACACTTGTCGGGGAGCATTTAGAGAGAGCGTTCTGCAGGGAGACCCACTGTACCTGCACCTGCTCAGCAGGAGAGGAAACCTGGATCTGGGACGTAAAAAAAGGATAAACAGGTGTTATAGAGCACCACAGGAATGAGTCCTAAAACCCAGAAGTAATTGTACATTTGAACGCCATGGGGTCAAACGTCTAAAAGCCAATGGCTTATTTTCTACAATGATCCAAAATCCAAAGTAAAAATCCCATAGGCGAATTCTCGTTAGACCCCATGGTGATGCTACTTCCGGGTTGGCCTACAAAATTACTTCATATGGTTTGTTCTCTATTACAGAACGACTGCTGCACTTTATCAGCCTCACGTGTGCTGCAGAGACTTTGAAGATATGATGCACAACGAGGAATCTTAGAGTTATATTCATGCAAATACTGAACCAACCAACCAATCAGTGGACTCGAGTTTCTGTCTGCACAGCAAAGAGATGAGAACATGTCATATGGAAGAGAACCCCCACCCCCACTGATCTGTTGTCTTGTTTACTCGTGTACAAACATTATTTGCCGATGTCTGTCAGCAGGGCCGATATCGACCGATGCATCCCCTGGTTCCTCCCCAAATTGTTGCAATGTCTTTCTGTTTTTTTCTTTTTTGTTTTCTGTCTCTGGAATCTTGATACAAAGAAGAAGCACATTGATGTCTTCTGAATCTGTACTGTGTCTCTCTTCCCTGCAGATGACGGGCCTTATGGGAAAACAAAGGACATATCAGGTCCAGAGCACAACATGGCCTCTAGGAGACACAGTATACCAGGTATGTCAGTATTTCATCCATTCCACTGTAGACTTCTGTAAACTGCGTCGGCTACACTCGGGGGCCCCGCGCCGTAAATCAGTCATGACATCTTGTCTCAGATTCGTCTGACACTGAAGCCTGAAGCACAGATTGTTTAATTAGTTTGAGGCGTTAGCGAAAGAACACAACGCCCTGACCAAACTGGGTCACAAAGAACATCACAATCTGACGGCAGGGTGACCCGATGATGACTGCAGAGATGACTGCAGAGATGACTGCATGCAAAACAGTCCAAGAAGACAGTTTTTTTTTTAATTATTATTATTTTATTTAGAATCACACATTCAAAGACATTCGTACATATTGTTCATTTGTGGTTAGAGAATAGAGTGATTCCTCTTTTCAAATTTTTGTAAATTTATACAGAACAAAATAAATCAAATAGAAAAAAAAATAAAAAAAATAGAACTGAACAAATCAAATAAAAATACAAATTGTAAGACATGGGGTGATTTTCCACAACAAATGGAAAAACAAAGCATACAGGCTTTCATAACTAAAGTAAAACCAGATCAAACAAAAGAAGGGAGTTTAGGGGAGATATAGGAAGAAGACAGTTTGATTCTTACATTTTTACAACACAAGTAGTTTATTTGTCAATTTAGCGTCCAATGCTACTTCAATAAAAATACATTTTTATTAATGGGCGCCTTTTAAAAACACCCAAGGTCACCTTACAAAGTAGAGACTTGCAGTATCTTGAGGTGAGATTTGAAAAGGAAGAGAGAGTCAGTGTTAAGCATGTCTGGTGGGAGGGAGTTACAGAGGTGGGGGGGCAGAGAGGCTGAAGGCTCTGGACCCCATGGTGGTCAGACCAGTCGGGTGGTGCAGTGAGCTGTTGGAAGAAGAATGCTGCGTTCAAGTGGGTGTGTTGATGTGCAGGAGTTCAGAGAGGTACAGAATTTTGAAGTCGATTTGATTCTTAACCCGGAGCCGATGAAGCTGCTGAAGGATTAACGGAGGTGGTTCGGGAGCTGATGCGAGCAGCAGAGTCCTGGACAAGTTGAAGTTTCTGGATGGACTTGAGAGGGAGACCAAAGAGAAGGGAGTTGCAGTGATCAATGTGGGATGTAACCAGGATGTAAACGGGAATGGCGGTACTGTTGGGTGTGAGGGACGGGCGGAGGTGAGCTTGGAGTGTTGGTGTGCTCTCGAGGATCACAGCCAGACTATTTACCCGGGGTATGTTTATAGTTTACAGAGCTGGGGGGGCTTGAGACGATCCAAGCTTTCATTGGGTGAAAGGCGGGGTTACACCCTGGACTGGTCACCAGCCAATCACAGGGCTGACATATAGAGACAGACAACCAGCCACACTCACATTCACACCTACAGCTAACCCTAAATTATAAACATGTAGTGTTTAGAGGGAGGATTGAAGCAGGAACAAGGTCTGTGAAGGGAATAAATTCAATAAAATGAGTCTCAAACTTTTCCACAAAAACTCGACACACGGCATCAGGCTGCAGCATGTTGATGATTATCTCCTCATAACATGAAGCTGGACGTAATCATTCTCTTTTTGTGATATTAGTTTCACATCATAAAAATAATGTAATATGTGAATTATATTTTGTGCTTCTTTGGCCTTTTCTTTGCAGCTTGATATCTTTCACACATCAAATCAAACTCCCTCTCTCTCTCCCCCTCTCCCTTTCTCTCTCGCTTTCTCTCTCGCTCCCTCTCTCTCTATCTCTCTCTCTCCCTCTCTCTCCCTCTCTCTCTCTCTTTTCAGTCTTTCTCTTCCATGCAGTTACATAACTCGGCTCCCTGCCCAGCTTACTTCAAACTTTTCGGTTGACTCTGATTCCAAGCACTTATAATTTGACATAAGCTTTAAGATTTTAAAGGTCCAATCAGTGAGATGTGTATTGAGTGAAATGATAAAGTGACCTTACTATATGATCAGACATTAAGGAAGCATGCTAAGTTGAAGGAGATTCTTTTGAAAAATGGAGAGAGGTTAGAACGCAGAAAGGTTTACAGACCGATGCAGAGCTGGCTAAACACTGAAGCTTCAGTTTCCACCACATGGCAACCTACGTGAGCATCAACTCTAGAGAGGAGGGGGCGAGGGGAGACAGCTCTCTACAAGGTTTAGAATCTGGACTGCAGTACCCATTTTAAACACTAGGGGTTATAGTTACATATTGCTCCTTGGATATCAAGGGAGTGCATCACATTAATGCCACCTTGATGCCAAAAAGCATACAATATGGAATAAAACAAAGTGTATACTTCAAATATAGTTTGGGAATTATTATTATTATTATGTCGTTTTAACACACACACACACACACACACACACACACACACACACACACACACACACAAGCCTCCAAGTGAGATGGATGCTTGTGTGTGATTGCTGGCTACATTAGGTAAATCCCTCAGGTGACTCTGAGGATCAGTGAGGTGCTTCACACCACAGTTATCACTGATGGGTATTACCCCACACACACACACACACACACACACACACACACACACACACACACACACACACTCTTCAGCACACATTATCTGCAGAGATAATGTGTACTCATTCATTCATTAGTCATTGTACGTCTCATATTTGCATAAAAGCATCAATGCTTTTACAAATGTAGTTTGATGGCGTGAATGTTTTCCAAACTGAATCTAACACAAAATGAGATTTCTCCCTCAAACAGAGTGCACTGGGAGTCATGAAGTTTAATCTACCTCTTCATTTAGACGCTCGGGGAGGACAGGAAACACATGAGACAAGTTTTCAAGCTCACTGAATAATGTCTTTTATGCAAAACAGAGAACTGAGGAAAGATATTATACCCTCAATGCTGATCAGGCAAATGGAAAACAGTGCAAAAATATACATTCTCATAAACAAAGAAATATTAAAGGAGCAGTATGTAACTTTGACACCTAGTGTTTAAAATGGCTACTGCAGTCTGAATTCTGAACATTGGAGAGAGCTGTCTCCCCCCGCCCCCTCCTCTCTAGATTCAATGCTCACACAGGTTGCCATGTGGTGGACTCTGAAGCTTCAGTGTTTAGCCAGCTCTGCATCGGTCTGTAAACCTTTCTGCCTTCTAACCTCTCTCTATTTTTCAAAAGCATCTCCAATATTGATCCTAGTTTGAGCACGTTTCTGCTTGTGGAGCTTATTTGAAACATGCGGAGGCTTTTTAGGTCGGGTACAATCACTTCTATCTGAACCAGTTCTCTTGTCCGCTTCCATCGCTGCAACACCTGTTGGTTTGACCTGATAACTGCTCTCATCTGGCAAACCAAACTTTTAAAGTTTGATAATTAAGCATCCTGTATCTTTACGTTCAGCTCGTCTTTCGGTTAATGATCTGCATCAAACCTGATCAAAGCTTCAGGTCTCAGAAACGACACAGAGTCATAGACGATTTAATCTTCTTCATGAACTTTTGTCATGAACTCTGAGCTGAACAGCAGCAGAGGGATGAAGGTGAACTGAACCCATTAAGTTGTTCACCTCATCGAGCCTTTGACTCGGCTGCTGTTAGAACAGAGGTTACAATGAATGTTTCTTGATATTTTGAATCCTTTGTTAATGCTGCTTTAATGAAGTGTTCAGGGAATATAAACTCTTGAATAGCTTTTGTCCTTTTATTGGTGCACTATTCATTGATCTTTGTAACTGCAGTCCACAGACAAATCCCTTCAGAGAGTTCAGCGTCGGGTCAGACAGTTTAAAAAATGAGTCAAAGTCCTGATTTTAGTTTGGACAATATGTGAGCCATTGTCCAAATTCTGCTTGGAATCAAAGATGTCCAAAGTGTTTTTGGTATCATCTAAGAGTTAATAGAGAATGAGACTAGCCTGCACTAGATGGTACACATGATGTACTCTGACAGTGGTGTGACTGTTTATATTTTCAGTAAATTTGCATTACCCTGTCAAGGCTTGAATTCATTTTACCAGGAAAAGATTCTTGTTGAGTTAGATCTCTTTTTCAAGAGTCCTCGTCGAGACAGCAGCATCAAAGTTTCACACAGAGAACAAAACAGACATTAAAGCGCCTTTACGTCACTCAACAAATCATAAATATTAAAGGAGCAGTATGTAACTCTGGCACCTAGTGTTCAAAATGGGTACTGCAGTCTAAATTCAAAACATTAGAGAGAGCTGTCTTCAGGTGTATCTTACTTTTATCTGTGCCCGTCTTTAATCCAGGACACAGAGGGCAGCCACTAACCACTTATCTCTCTGCTGTACTCTGTGTGTTTGAGTGTGTGTGTGTGTGTGTGTGTGTGTGTGTGTGTGTGTGTGTGTGTGTGTGTGTGTGTGTGTGTGTGTGTGTGTGTGTGTGTGTGTTCCTATATATGCGTGTGTGCGGCTGTGTCTCGTCCTCGTTCTGTGTTTGTGTATTTGTCTTTATGTGTATGTGTGTTTCCGGGTAGAAGCTCTGCGGGGGGTAACCATGGTGGAGCTGGTGAAGAAAGAAGGCAGCACGCTCGGCCTGACCATCTCAGGAGGGACCGACAAGGACGGGAAACCGAGGGTATCGAACCTACGGCCCGGAGGACTGGCAGCCAGGTGGGTGCAACACCGACGAAGAAAACACTTTTTCATATTCTGTGGTAAAACCGCTTAAGCTGGGTACGCACTACAAGATAATCGGGAGGATTTTAAGCCCGATTCTTCATTTATGACAATCCAAAGCAAAGTCCGGATTTTTATCAGGCTTCAAAAGATGATCTTGTCAGGTTTTAATGCGGTGTGAGGTTTGTTAGGAGTGATCCGGGCCGCCCCTGATTTCAAACATGTCCAATATGTACGATTGGATCTCCTGCTGTGCGGGGTGAGGCCCGAGGACAGTCGAGCACGCACTGTGTGGTTTGTCATGCTGACCGAAGAAGAAAGACGCAGCCAATAAACCTTCACCCACACACCTGCTCTTTTTGTAGCATGTACATCCGGGGGCGCCGCTCGTCTAGTGATAACTGTGCGTCCTAGGCGTAGACCTTGAGAGCGGGCTGCACAAGGTTTAAATCCACTATCCACAAAAAAAATGTGTTCATGCCCTATCCACGTTTCTTTTGTGAATTGTTAGTTTCACCATTGTTGTTGACAGAGGTTTTGTTTCTAAGTCCCGCCCTGTCTTGATTCTGATTGGCCGGTGAGGGAGAAGTTCCAAAAGTTGAACTGGTTTCAGTTAAAAAATGCTGTGAGTGTTTTCAGTGTTTTTGAGCGCTGAACCTGACCTGTCTGTGCACACAGGCCCTAAATGAACCCTCTTAGAGTATAATCAAAGCAGTACACAGCAGAGTGTTTTAATCCAGGGCCTGTTTCAGAAAGTAGGTTCAACAAAACTCTCAGTCTGACCCTGAGCTCTGAGTTGATTTACCCTCAGATGGGAGTTTTCTGTTCCAGACCAGCTGATTTGAGTTTGTTAAATCAACTCTGAGTAGGTTCACTCGGTGTTCAGCGCGTGCACCACGATGATAAAAAGCCAACATTAATGGAGCCCCGCTAAAACGATTCACCATGGCAACAGGTGACAAAAAAGAGATCCCCGTACTTTAACCATCTTGAAATATAGCATACATCTTCATGCTGACATACAGAGAACATGAACAGGTTTTAAGAAGGGAAAAAAAAGATAACACTGCTGCAGCGGCAGAGGAGGGAGACGTGGTGTAAGAGTAAACAGCTGCTGTTGTGAAACCGCATTTCTGAATCTGAAAAGAGGAAGGAGAAGGGGAGAAACTCGGGGGTTCATTGAAGAAAACCTGCTCCTGACCAGGTTAGATTTACAGACTCAGTTACCATACTAACTGACCCAGAGCTGAAGTTACATCCCTCTCTGGAACGGGCTGGAGTTAACCCTCATTTCAGGGTTAACTGACTCAGTGTTTGCACTAAACCTGCTTTCTGAAATGGGCATCTGGTTCTTGAAGGTTTCATTTGTTTTTTTACATTTTTTATTCGTTCTCTGTGCAGGAGCGACCAGCTAAATGTTGGCGACTACATCAAGTCAGTGAACGGCATCAATCTGACCAAACTGAGGCACGAAGAGATCATCAGCTTACTGAAGAACGTAGGAGAGCGAGTTCTGCTGGAGGTGGAGTATGAACTGCCCCCTACAGGTACACTCTGGTCGTAAACAAGACTTTACTGTCTATCTCTCAGAACTTTAATGTATCTGATTACAGAGCGGCTGCATTGTAAATTACCTCCTCGTCTCTCTGGTTACGTCTCACTTCGTCTCTTGGCTCCGCCTCTCTCTCTCTTCTCGTAGCCCCAGACAGCAGCTCAGGGGTGATATCAAAGACAATCGACATCTGTTTGCACAAAGAGGGGAGCAGCTTTGGTTTCGTCATGAGAGGTAAGCAGCAGTGAAATAAGATATCACCTGCATGTTTGGAGAAGTATGGGAACATGGCTGCATGCTGGCGATGTCACAGCACGAGGTGATGGATGTAGACGCCAACGTGTTTATTTTTTCAAGTGGCTAAAGTCCTCAAACTTTACTATTTGGTGCCAACAACATACAGCTGTTAGGATCATTTTAAGTGTGTGCTTTTTAATTCTGAACAATTAAAATACAGAGTTAGGCCCCCCTGTCTGTGCGCTCGGGAGCTCCTGCATGAAGCGCTCCACGTCCGTCCTGTCTCCATGACAACAGTCTGTTAAAAAAACGGCCGCTGTGTGACCTACACTGTTCCGTTACTTTTTACTGCATGTTATTTTATTTTAGATTGTTTTTTCCCTGATCAGACATGGAGCGAGGAAGATGTGGGTACAAGACACGATCTGTAGGAGACTAAACTACGGGGAATATCAAACATTTGGAAAAGAGCGCCGGTGACGTCAACAGCGCCTTTCTGAAAAAGTTGAAAGATTTTCAACTTGAGCGCTCGGAGTGGCTTCACACAAAAAAAAATGAACGCTCGTAAAGGCTAGGCGCTATGCTTTTTCTTCAAGCGACTGCTTTGTGCCGCGCTCTACTCGCTGAAAACAATTGAGAAAAAAGAAGGACGTTTTGCAGATTATCAGTCGTCAATTTAGCTTTTTGAGTTATATGTCATGTGAAAAAAACACTTCAACTTTAATGTAACTGTTTAGCCTAAGACTTTAAGCTTTCCAGAGCGATTCCAGTTGTGTTGCAATGACCACATTTTTCATAACAATGATGGAGCATCCATCTGATAGTTCTGCATGTTTGTGTCCTATGGGAGCATAGAGAACGTAAAAGGATTAAAGTCAAGTGTGGATCCAAATCAGCTTCAATCTACCCTCTTTCTGCAGGTGGTATGCACGAGGACTGGCACAAGTCTCGCCCTCTAGTGGTCACCTACGTCAGGCCAGGCGGTCCTGCAGACAGGTAACATGGACTGTACACTCATGCAACCATAAGGCCAGAAATATCAGAACAATGGGTTGAGTCCACACAGGACCTGATGCCTACTCACAAAAACAAAAATCGTTTTCACACTATTTTCTGACTTTTTATTTCAGAGACAGGACAGTGGATCGAGTCAGAAATTAGGGATAGAGAGCGCAGGGAATGACACGCAGCAAAGGAGCCACAGGTCGGATTCGAACCCGGGCCGTCTGCTCTCGGGGACTTAAGCCTCTGTACATGGGGTGCACACATTAACCGCCCAAATTTTGAATCATTTGACAGCCCTAATTCACACATGAATATATTCTGAGACAAGACCAAGAAACACAAACACAGTCGCAGAAAGAGAGAGGGAACGTAAAGGTCTGTTTCATGGTGAATAGTAAAATAATGTATGGCATTAACGGCAGCGGCTCGTCCGGCTCCAGTCGAAAGTCTGAGCGCTGTTTCTGCGCCTCCATGCGCGTACACCCAGAGGAGAACAGTGTCATGTCTTGTGTGTGTCACTGGTATTTTGAAAGTAATGTGTTACTCACAGCTGCAGCAGCATGAATCACCTCCGATCCCTTTAATGTTGTCATCGTGTGTCGTTCTCCGTCTTCATGTTTCAGAGATAATCTGTGACAGTTTCTTGTACGTGTCAGCTTTGTGACTTTTTGACTGATCAACAGGGATTCAGCCGTCTAAGGATGTGTTGAGTCGACTCTTAGACATTTACTCTGAAAGTACTGGATGCAAATGAAGAGGTCTTTTACAGTTTTATTAGCTACGGGAAAGAATTATGAATTATGCCATTTCGGTGCCACTCTAGATTGTGTTTCCACAGCTAGTGCCTAAGCAGCAAGAAATGTGTCGCTAGCCTGTATCTGAACCAACTTCCTCAGCCGGCATGTACATCCGCAGATCATCTGCATAACGATGGAAAACAATCCCAAAGGATCATAAAATCTGACCCAGTGGTGCCACGTAGAATGAAAACAACAGTGGGCTAAGGACAGACCCCTGTGGAACCCCATGATTAACAGCACAGGACCCTATTGACCAGAATAAAAGATGCCAAAATAGTTCTCAAAACTGTCCAATAATATAAAGAAATAGAGAAAAAAGAACCATCTAAAGAAATTCAGAGAAACCTGCAAATGCAAATTTACAGAGATTCATGAGAACATGTTTAAATACATTTAATATACTTCTGATTTGTTGGAATTACTGTGCAACCTGTACAAAACCTTATCTTTCTAATGGGACTGTGGGCCGATTCGACGGCAGAATTTCTTCATATTGGTTGTAGTGGCAAATTTAAAGTTGTGTTAAATTGGGGCAGCTTCTGCTCTCTGCAGGAGGGAAATATTTTGATTAGTTTTCTGCCAGCACAGAAATGCACATTAGTTTTACTTCATTCATCTCTTCCCCAGTTACACAATTATAATGACCCTGAAATTTCCAATCATTGCAGAGTAAGAATCTCTATTTACAGCATGTTGTCACTCCTAACTTGTCAAATACAGCCATTTAATAAAGTGGGCAATCGCTCGAGATATGACCCTGCAGGTACCTCCATAGCTTATAGAGGCTGTTCATTAGTTCATAGTTTGTTAGAGTGAAAGGCAGGAGACCGGGGTTCGATTCCTGTATCAACCAACATTAAATGGATTTATTATAAGGGGTTCCTTTTTGTTAGATAGCACACAGTGATGACTGGGCTAGCTTAAACCATAAGCAGCTTTTATTTTTCCAACCCTGGGGCGTCCTCTTCCATCCAATTCTGTATTGTAAATGACTGACAAGTGTCATTGCACGCCCCTTTGATTTGCTGGTCATTTGGTAAAAATTCTGTCAACCCACAGGCCATCGACTTTTGACCAATGACACAATCGTTGAATTACAGACTGTAAAGATGCTAAGACACAAACTTAACATCTCTTAACTTAAGTTGACTTATTCAGCCCAAACTAAACGGGGTCAAAGTTTCAGATCATGAGGTAAACGTATGTTGGAGTGATCCCAGCAGAGGGCGTTAAACGGCTAGTTCTTCAAATCCCACCATAGTCCCCGAAATAAAACCAAGAATTTCACCAGACAGTTTCAAGCCTCTACGTAAGCCACTAAAACCTCTTACATAGACTCTCTTCTCCCAGCAAATCCAGAGCATTCAGGACCAGAATCTAAAGTTAGAAGGAGGACCTACTGGCTGCTGCATTGTTGTCAGAGAAGCCAGCACTTCAACATAGCATGTTTCCTTAATGTCTGATCATATAGTAAGGTCATTTCATCATTTCACTCACTACACATCTTACTGATTGGACCTTTAATCAGCTGTGCTTTGCTAATTTTACACTTTAATGCTTAGTTGCAAATCTTGTCATTTATCTGCAGCCATCAGAAAAATTTCACTGCTTCTAGAAAGTCCTTTTTCTCAAAGCTTTCTTTACTCCACACTGTTTCTCCAGCAACGATAAGAAAAGACACACAATGCCTTCTCTTTGAAAGCAAACAGCTTCAGTCAGTTTCTGCTTTAGACATTAGAGATGCTATTTTTACTCCAGATGTAAGAATTGTAAAAGAAATTAATGCAGAGATGAGTTAGGACACGTGCAGAACATGTGCATGAACGTACACAGTTGAATCTTTGCTCATGAGATTTGTCTTTTCTGTGATCTGTGACACACATTTAGGGCTCGTGAAAGATCTCTTTTAAAGTGATCAATTGTATATGACAAAATGATTGCAGAAGAGCTTATATTACAGATCATCCATGGCCCTATTTCAGTAGATTCCTCACACAAAGGTGCACAGTGTGGGACAAAACCTAGATTAAATTCCATCTCACCGTTCAGTTATTTTGCCCTGAAGCTCATCTGACGCCATTCTAAAGAAAACCATCCTGAGAATGTGGGTCAGTGCAGCGAAAAAAACGAACGAGATATTCTGCTGCTTTTTTATCCCATTTACATGCCAATTGGAGAGAAACTTAATCCACAGCAGCACACGGTCTCCGGAGTGCCTACGTGTTTGGCTTTACCCGGTGGGAATTATAAAGCAACAACTCCGCGAGTGCTGCAGAGTCATGAAGTTTTTATGCAGAAACCACAAAGGACGTGATTGTACAGCCTCATCGTATGAACAGACAAAGAAAGACACGGCGAGAGCCTGCAGGCTTCAGAGCCGGCAAAATGTCAGAGAAGTCCGCAAGACGTCGCTTCAACCATCGACCTGAATTAGAGCAACCAACATCCATCCTAAAATGCAGTTTAATCCTTTAATAACGATTCAAATTAGCAGCTGTAGTGTCTAGTGTGGTGGTACTCAAAATCAGTATTTGTCTCCAGACCACTTTTTGAAGGTCTTGGTCTTGTCTCAAAATCAAAAGCATTTTTACTCAGTCTTGACCCGGTCTCAGACTGGGCGGACTCCAGATTTTAAATCAAGAACAAATAACTTCAATTCATTCATTATTAGATTTTTATCTCCCAGTTACGGCCGCAACCTTCCCAGTGTAACAGTCTAAGTGAGTGACACACCCCCTAAACACAAGATGATGATTTTTCAGTGATATACTGTTTATGGGCTTGGTCCTGGTCTTGACTCTGTCTCGATCCCTAAATGTCTTGGTCTTGGTCTTGACTCTGTCTCGATCCCTAAATGTCTTGGTCTTGACTCGGTCTTGCCCTGCCTTGGTCTTGGTCTTGACTCGGTCTCGATCCCTAAATGTCTTGGTCTTGACTCGGTCTTGCCCTGCCTTGGTCTTGGTCTTGACTCAGTCTCGATCCCTAAATGTCTTGGTCTTGGTCTTGTCCCGGTCTCGGAGCACTCTGGTCCTCAGGTATGTCTTGGTCTTGGTTAGTTTGGTCTTGACTACAACACCTGTAGTATCTCTTGTGTGCAGTAAACTGCTGAAATGTGAATGACAGAAGACAGTAGATCTTGTTTGTTCATCAGAACTGAAGCGGCAGTATTGAAAAATGGAGCCACTGCAGAAGTTCACAACGCTAAGATCACGCTCGTAAGAGGAGGAGGTCTTACATTTTGAACCGGCTAGCAACAATAAATATGTATTTGTGTACCTTTAATGGAGAGTGTTACAATTTGGTTCATTGCTTAACTTATGTGCTCCATGTTTTTGCTAACCTCCATTAGAGTTGTAGGAGAGCCCACTGAACTGTTGTAGCCATGCCAGGACCTGCACAAAAATCAGGAATCTGGAAATAAAGGAGACGAATGCTTTTGACCCTGACAGTAGCTTGTAGGCAAACGTTTTTCCAGCAAGCTCCAAAAGCTGATCAGAGCCAGACAGAGGAGGCGTATGTTAGCTAGGAGGCTAATGCTAACACTACTGATCCAATAAGCAAGTTATGATATTGGCAAAAGAAATCTGTCGAGGGCCCGTTCACTTAGCCTTTCAGGGGCCCAAACGTTTTTGTGGGCGGTTCTACTGGTGAGTAAGAAGTGCTAAGATGGATGAGAAGCCGAAGCTGTGCTCATTCATCTATTTTTCCTTAAAAACTCAAACTTGACCTTTTCATTCCCACTTAAATGTTCAAACCTCCGAACACATTTCCCTCCGATTGCAGCCTACATAAGATCTTCTTGACCCACTTCAGCGTTGCGTCATGTTGTTTAAAAAGTGACAGGCTATCATCGCATCCTTTACAACTTCCTGCTCCGCTGGACAGCTCTGCATGGCTCACACTTTGGCATCATGCATAAAGCATCCGTCAGCTCCTCCATGCAGAGCTGTGCATTAAACATTCAAAAGAGAGGGTGCATTTCTTTTGAGATAAATAATTGCCTAAAATGTGTGGCTAAGCATCCAGACTAGTGTGAAAGTGCTTTTGTCATTCAGGGACTTTTTTTTTGGAAAATCAGCGCGATTTCAATGGAACCAGATCACATGAAGTGATGTTTAATCTGTAGCTGTTGATTACTGTGAAGCACAGCAGAATAATCTGTCATCTTTGTGCTGTTTCCTCTGTGTTTGTCCTCCATTTGAACTCGAGGAGCAAAGATACTGTAAAAAAAAAACTCGGATAGACGAAGAAAAGAGGAGGGTGAGATGAGAAGGAGTGCGACAGTATGAGAACGAGTCCGATACACATTTGCCGAAAGGAAAAGTTAGAAGAGGAGAAGAGATAAATACGTTTTGAGGGGAAGTGCCGACGATAAGAGTGCGGTCGACAGCCGTGGCTGGAGGCATTTTACAGTTTTTTTTGGTTTGACTGTCAATCCGCCTCGTTCATCCTCAACGCAGTATCTCGGGAACGCCTGAAGGGAATTTCTTCAAATCTGACATTACGTTTATGAAGAAATTAGATCTTATTGCTCAAAGGTCATTGTGACCTCGCATCCATGCCTTTCTCATAAATGTGTTGTCTAAAATTCATTAAGCAGACGCTTTTATCCAAAGTGATGAACATCAGAGAGTAAGAACATCACAAGCAAGGCTCTAGAGAGGAGGAAACAACGACAGGATGTGCAAACGAACCGCTTTCAGTCTGAGCGGACACACAGGTGCTGACAGGAAGTGACCACAGGTGCTGACAGGAAGTGACCACAGGTGCTGACAGGAAGTGACCACAGGTGCTGACAGGAAGTGACCACAGGTGCTGACAGGAAGTGACCAGAGGCAGAGCACAACATGGACAGCTGTTCTTCAGAGTTATAATTGGCGACAAAACCATCCTAAATATCATCGTCATCATCATTAAGATGGTAGGTGTTCATAAAGAGCTGGGTCTTTAGCTTTTTCTTAAAGGTGCAGAGGGACTCTGCAGATCAAATAGAGTTTGGTAGTTCATTCCACCACCGGGGGGCGACAGAGAACAGTCTAGTTAGCGTCTTAGGACCCTGTTGTGAAGGTTGGATCAGACGCCTTTCATTGGCAGAGCGTAGTGGGCGGGAGGGAGTGTAGACCTGGATGAGCAGCAGAGTTTTAAATCTGATGGGAGCAGTAACTGGGAGCCAGTGGCGGGAGATGAACAGCTGAGTGTTTTTTGTATCTGTTGAAGACCAGTCGCGTTGGGTCAGCAATGATCAGCTGTCATTGGGTGAGAGGCGGGGTTACACCCAGGACTGTTCAGCAGCCAATCACAGAGCTGACATACAGAGACAAACAACCAGCCACATTCACACCTACGGGCAATTTAGAGTCAGCAGTTAACCTAACGAGCATGTCTTTGGACTGTGGGAGGAAGCCGGAGTACCCGGAGAGAACCCACATGCACGGGGAGAACATGCAGACTCCACACAGAGAGACTCCTGTCAGACGGGGATTCAAACCAGGAACCTCCTCGCTGTGAGGGGACAGAGCTCACCACTGCACCACCCTGCAGATATCTACAAATATGAGCACCCATATAAAATTTCCAGAGCTTTCACATCTGATGTTGTCATTTTGTCTGTGTGTGTGTGTGTGTGTGTGTGTGTGTGTGTGTGTGTGTGTGTGTGTGTGTGTGTGTGTGTGTGTGTGTGTGTGTCAGAGAAAGCACGCTGCGTCCCGGTGACCGTCTCCTCAGTGTGGACGGCGTACCGCTGCACAACGCCAACCACAGCGACGCCCTCAGCGTGTTGGCCCAGTGCGGACAGGAAGCTCTGTTCCAGATAGAGTACGACGTCACCATCATGGGTGAGGGACCACACACACACACACACACACACACACACACACATTGGGATACTTGACTCAGACATGAGTTAAAGCTTGAGGATGAAGTTTCTGAAATCAAGACTCCGTTGTGTGTTTTGTTGATGTTTTGGCAGCCGCCGCCTCAGGCTGAGCGCTGCCTTCACTTACCCATAATGCAATGCAAGAATCCCCTGGTCTGCATACTGTATCTGGTGGTTTTCTCCTTTGAGGCCATTTTTAGCCTCGAGCTCATCTGCCAGTCTTCTCACTGTCGTGTTTGCGATCACAAGGGAGCAAGTGATAAAAAATAAAATCCATCTTTTCCCCAATCAGACACGGTGACGAACGCCTCCGGCCCACTATTAGTGGAGATCGCCAAGTCGCCGGGAGCTACGCTGGGAATCACGCTGACCTCAGCCAATCATCGAAACAAGCAGGTCATCGTCATCGACCGAGTTAAACCTGGCAGCGTGGTGGACAGGTACACACATTCACACACACACACACACACACACACACATCATGTGTTTGTTACATTTCACTATCTGAAGGTACGAGCTGATGATGGCATCCATGAACACGGCCATGGATTGACCCATGGTCCGCGGAGCATCACTTACACCTTAGCCCAGATTAAACATTTCTACAGGACATCAAGGGCCTCAGGCTGGTGGACTTAGAGGAATTCTTTCCAGACCTGAAGCGTTTTTTAAGTTCAGCTCGACCTTTAACTCAGAGCTCTCCCGTGCTTTTGGTGACCAAGGCCTCACCGATCAAGAGATTTATCGTCTCAGAAAACTGATCTTGAAAGTGAAAGCACAAATCAGCGATGATGATGTTTAGACTGTGTCTCATCTCTTTCCTCTTGTTGTGTATTTATCTTGTTTCTTTTTTAAACTCCTATCTCTCAATGTGTGAATTTAAAATTGGCACCTTAAATTTAAATGGAGCGAGAGATGATGAAGAGCTGCACTATTTCAACTGATGGAGTTCAGAAAGTTAGATATTTTAATGTTTCAAGAGTCACACAGTGACTCTGAGAACGAGAGTCAGTGGAGGAAGGAGTGGCCTGGCGAGGTGATCCTCAGCCATAAGTTCACCTGTAGGGGAGGAGTTGGCTTTATTTTTTCTGGAGGTTTTCTGCCTGCTTCGTGTGAAGTACAGGAGGTCATTGAAGACTGCTTATTGAAAATTAGAGTGCTAAATTATCTCTGGCCAGGTTGGATGGCTTTTATTGTTTTAAACACAACATGAATGTTGAGTGTCTTATTGTTCCTGTAGGCTTCACTGATCACTGTCTCGTTTATTGTTCTCTTTTTATTAAGAATGTCAGACTTCAAAGTGCGTATTGGCATTTTAACACCACATTGCTGCATGATAAAGCTTTTAAGTCTGCACTGGAGTACTTTTGGGACACTCACAGACAGCTAAAGTCTGATTTTAAAACCATTCAGCAGTGGTGGGACTTTTGAAAAAGTCAGATTAAACAGTTGTGTCAACAGTACACTCGTAATGTCACCAGGGACAATTTTTTGGTCTGGAAAGGAAAAGCGGACAAAAGAAGATCTATCTTTTCTCTGTACGATCCAGCAGTGGACAATCAATCTCAGATTCTGCTGGGATCAGAAAACATGCAGTCTGTCTGAACTCTACTGTGCTGTCATGAGTCTGCAGAATGGAAAAGCTCCAGGTATTGATGGACTTCCTGTTGACTTTTATAAAGTGTTTTGGTGTGTGCTGGGAGAGGATCTCCTGGAGGTTCTTAAAGACAGTTTGGAGAGGGGTCGTCTGCCTCTGAGCTACAGGAGAGCAGTCATCACACTGCTGCCAAAGAAAGGCGACCTTCAGGATTTAAAAAACTGGAGACCAGTGTCATTACTTTGTACAGACTACAAAATCCTGTCCAAGGTCCTGGCATCTGGACTAAGGCAGGTGATTGGGCGGAAGTTTTGGAAGTCTCTGGTTCATTGGCTGTAGAAACTGGTCTGATTTCACTAGACCAGCAAAAGGCTTTTGATCGGGTTGAACACCAGTATCTATGGTGGACTCTAACCGCCTTTGGGTTCAACCCATGTTTCTTAGCTAAGATCCAGGTTTTGTACCGTGACATTCCGAGTGTACTAAAGATCAATGGAGGCCTGAGTGCTCCTTTTAGTGTACAGAGGAGGATGAAGCAGGGCTGTTCTTTATCTGGAATGTTATATTCCTTAGCCATTGAACCCCTGCTTCACAGACTGATGTCAGGTCTCTCTGGTGTTTGTTTTCCTGGCTCTGATGTCCGTTTTAAATTGTCAGCGTATGCTGATGATATGATTGTGTTTGTCAACCAGCAGAAAGATATCAATGTTTTAAAAGAGACCGTGAATTTGTTTTGGTCAATACCTTCTGCCAAAGTGAACTTGCTGAAAAGTGAAGCAGTGATGGTGGGAGAGAGGCTGAGGGGTCGGCTCAGTCTGCCTGGAGGCCTCGTTTGGAAATCAGGAGGTCATAAATATTTGGGAGTGTTTTTGGGGAATCAAATGTTTGTGAATAAAAACTGGGAGGGTGTGTTAGAGAAAGTAAAAGGACGTCTTAAAAAATGGAGGTGGCTGTTGCCAAAGATGTCTTTTAAAAGTCGGGTACTTATGTCCAATAATCTTGTTTCCTCTGCCCTGTGGCACAGACTGGCCTGTATTGACCCTCTGTCCTCTCTCCTGTGTAAAAGCTCTAGAGCAGGTGGTGGAGCATGATCAGTTAGTTTATGGACATGTGCTGATGTAAAATGTGTTTATTTTGTGAATGTAATTTGTGAATTTTAGGAATGTATATTATTGTTGAACAGTGAGCAGACTGATAAATAAAGGTCTGTTTAAAAATCAAAAATTCTCTCTCTCTCTCTCTCTCTCGCTTGCTCCTCTTTCATAAGACTCACACACACATTACCCGTGTCCAGCTCTGAAACTTAACACAGACGGCAGGAGACAGGATTCTGCCCGGAGCCTCAGTCTGGCTCTAAAATATACATGAAGCACTTGAACTCTGTGTCAGTTCTGAATCCAGCTCTGAAATAACCTCAGAGTTTGCGGACAGGGTGGATGTGATGCTCTGAGCTTAGTCAGGATTCATCCCCACATGGTTACGGATTCCTTTTTTCTTTTTTAATATTTAAACCACAGTTTGAAATCCAGACGCACCTGGGTGACCGGCTCTGCAGAATCCTCATCCGACCGTGTGTTACCTGCATGTGATTTTCCAACGTATTTATTCCTCCTCTGTTCTACAGTGTTCAGATCCTTCTCTGATTCTTCCTGTCTCTGTTTTTTTTTGTTGTTGTTTTTTTTACCAGATGTGGAGCGCTGCATGCCGGGGATCACCTGCTGTCCATAGACGGAACGTCGACAGAGCACTGCACGGTCCTGGAGGCGACGCAGCTTCTGGCGAGCACAACAGAGCTGGTGAAGTTAGAAATGCTCCCCTCCCATCAGACACGGCTAGCTGGGAAGCAGCACGACACAGGTGGGTGCACCAGCTGCCATGTGTCTGAAAATATGAGTCGACTTCTGCTAATGTGAGAAAAGTTACACATCTTGTCTTTTGGATGTGAACAGGAAGTAGAAATTAGATCATAAGGTCACTTAAAACCACATCCAACCTGTTTAAACAATAGCTTTTTGATTTGTTTGAATTCTGTGATTCTTGACTTCCTGTGGGAGGAGACCCCGGGGGTAGACCCAGAGTTCGCGAGAGGGATTATAAATCCTGACTAACTTGGGAGCGCCTCAGAATCTCCCAGGAGGAGGAGCTTGAAAAGGTTGCTGGGGAGAGGGAAGTCTGGGGCGACTTACTGCCTTACTGTGCCCGACCTCGGATAAGAGGAAGAGAATGGATGGATGGATGGATGGATGGAGTCACTTTTTCAGATTCTGGTTGAAATTGTCTTTAGGTCCACTCTCTACCTCTCGTGTGCTCTAGCCCACACTCAAAAAGGGGTGGTGGGAGTTTATACTGTGAGCTTACTTACTGCTGAATGAGACATGAGACAACGTAGTTTCTACACAATGCAAGAGATGAGCTGAGGTCCACTTCTGGAGAGACGGCGCTCGTTCATGTAAGTGAGGGGGCGTGGCTTTAGGGGGAACATAGAGGGGAGGGGGTGCAGACGGAGCACTGAGGGAATGCTACTTTCAAAATCATGCTAGTTTTAGAAAATTACCAACCCTGCCTTTAAGGTTTAACTCTAAAGGAACATGTCATCACATCATCCTCAGCAGGGGAATAAGATGATATTGAGACGTTTTTTTCTTTTAGCTGCACGGTTAGCAGACCAGAAGAAGACAAAGACTCCATATTTTAGCCACGACAGCAACTTCCTGCTTAATTATCTGAAGGAGTGTTTCTTCACCCGTTTGTGAGTGATGGAGAATTAGCTCCAGTGGATTTACGGGAGACGTTGATTCCTGCAGCTGCCTTCATCATCCAGGTTAACGCCTCACAGCAGAGGGGTTAATGATGACAAGTGTATACACACACACATGTATGCATGTTCACACACACACACACACACACACACACACACACGTGTAAAATGTGCAAAGCTGCAGGATTGTAGGAAGCATGAAACACGCTTTTTCCTAGCTGTTGGAAAAATCTGTTTTTCTTAATGGTGCTTTCTCTCCCTGACCTGATTATGGAGTCGTGAGTCGAGAGAGGTTTAAATTGACAGGATTAAAGAGTGAAGATGATAGACAGAAAATAAAGGCTGACTGAAATAGACTCAGCTCTACTTTGTGTTGAGTGTGTGCGGGGCGGGAGCTTCATCTCAGCGTGATAACGGCGGGAAAAGAGAGAGAGAGAGAGAGAGAGGGAGTTGAAAAGAGAAGCGGTGGATCAATGAGAGCTGAGTGACAGCGAGTGTGAAGGCAGGATGGTATTTAATTAAAGTCATTACACCTCTCTCTCTCTCTCTCTCTCTCTCTCTCTCTCTCTTTCGTGCGCTGTTAGCCTGACACCTCCTCCTCTCCTAACTTCCTCTCCTCCTCTCCTCCCTTTCCGTTTCATCTCCTTCCTCTTGCCTCCTCTGTTCTTCTCTTGTTTTTGTGCCCTCCTTTCTCACCTCATCTCCTCCTCTCATCTTCTAACTTCCTCTCCTCGTCTCCTCTCCAAACTTCCTCTCCTCCTTTCCTCTCTCAATTTCCTCTCCTCCTCTCCTCCCTATCCCTTTCTTCTCCTTCCTCTTGCCTCCTCTGTTCTTTTCATGTTTTTGTGCCCTTCTTCCTCACGTCATCTCCTCCTCTCCTCTCCTAATTTCCTCTCCTCCTTTCCTCCCTATCCGTTTCATCTCCTTCCTCTTGCCTCCTCTGTTCTTTTCATGTTTTCGTGCCCTCCTTCCTCACATCACCTCATCCCCTAACTTCCTCTCCTCTCCTCCTCTCCTCTCATCTCCTGACTTCCTCTCTTCCTCTCCTCTCCTCTCCTAACTTCCTCTCTTCCTTTCCTCTCCTAACTTCCTCTCCTCCTTTCCTCCCTATCCGTTTCATCTCCTTCCTCTTGCCTCCTCTGTTCTTTTCATGTTTTCATGCCCTCCTTCCTCACATCACCTCATCCCCTAACTTCCTCTCCTCTCCTCCTCTCCTCTCATCTCCTAACTTCCTCTCTTCCTCTCCTCTCCTCTCCTAACTTCCTCTCTTCCTTTCCTCTCCTAACTTCCTCTCCTCCTTTCCTCCCTATCCGTTTCATCTCCTTCCTCTTGCCTCCTCTGTTCTTCTCTTGTTTTTGTGCCCTCCTTTCTTACCTCATCTCCTCTCCCAACTTCCTCTCCTAACTTCCTCTCCTCCTTTCCTCTCCTGACTTCCTCTCCTCCTTTCCTCCCTATCCGTTTCATCTCCTTCCTCTTGCCTCCTCTGTTCTTTTCATGTTTCCATGCCCTTCTTCCTCACCTCATCTCCTCCTCTCCTCTCCTAATTTCCTCTCCTCCTCTACTCTCCTAACGTCCTCTCCCCCTCTCCTCCCTATCTGTTTCATCTCCTTCCTCTTGCCTCCTCTGTTCTTTTCATGTTTTCATGCCCTTCTTCCTCACCTCATCTCCTCATCTCCTCCCTTAACTTCCTCTCCTCTTCTACTCTCCTAACGTCCTCTCCCCCTCTCCTCCCTATCTGTTTCATCTCCTTCCTCTTGCCTCTTCTGTTCACCTCTCTCTCTCTCGTGTGCTGTCAGCCTGACATCTCCTCCTCTCCTCTCCTAACTTCCTCTCCTCATCTCCTCCCCTAACTTCCTCTCCTCCCTTCCTCCCTATCCCTTTCATCTCCTTCCTCTTGCCTCCTCTGTTGTTTTCATGTTTTCCTATCCTCCTTTCTCACCTCATCTCCTCCCCTAACTTCCTCTCCTCCTCTACTCTCCTAACTTCCTCTCCTCCTCTCCTCCCTATCACTTTCATCTCCTTCCTCTTGCCTCCTCTGTTTTTCTCTTGTTTTCAATCTTGTCCTCCCTTCTTTCTTCCTCTCCTACCTTTCTCTTTTATCCCGTCTTGTTGTAACTTTTGCAGCACGTTCTCAGTCCCAGCTCGTGAAACACACCAGCAGTCTGTGATCCTGGCAGGATGATTTATACCAGACCTCAAATGAAATGATGTTTCTTCAGCCTCAGAAAAACTCAATAATTATGAATGTGGTGGCCGGTGTGATGACTATTCCAGATTTAATCAAAATCATCCCCCTCTCCTATGTGGCTTGAAAATAGATTTTTACACTGATGCAGTGCTGGGAACGTAATCGACGGACTTTAAGAAACAAATCGTTTTATTACAAATTATTTTCACATTACCAGCGACTTCTAATGTGGTCCAGCGAGGTCTGCTGCGCTGACTGCAACTTTTTTTCAATATTCCTCTGCAGTGACCATTTCATTTTTAAAGTTGTCCCACCACCCTGAAGTCCAACCGGGTCGCTTCCAAATCCTCTGGCGTTGTGGGCGGGGTTTGTGTGGTGGGAGTGTTGTATGAAGCAGCAGTGACCTCCGTCATCCAATCAGGTCGTCTCTGCTCGTCAACATAGTGGGAGAGTAACTGTGTGTGCGTATGTGTGAGCATGTAAAAAAGTCCAGTTAGCATTGTTAGCACCAGCGCTAGTTTGGTGACGTCGGCCATCGCACTAATCTCATGTAAACTTAAAGAGACAGCGTCGCACGATGACATCACACGGATGCACAGCGTTTTCCCCGTCTACACAGAAACACCTTAAACAGTTTCTGAACATCTTCGCTGTTACGTTAGACATTTCTGCAGCAGTCTATCACGTCCTTACAGTCATCCAAAGTGGTTAGCTAACACCATCTAGTGGCTAATATTCACAGAAGAAAAACATGTCCGCCATCATCTCTTTGGTCTGGGAACTCTCTCTGACCGTTTATTCTGCACATGCTCACATTATCTCTTAACGGTGCACGCAGGCACACATGCTCTAATAATGACGTCACTGTGTGGGCTATTTAACATGGCTTTGCACTTACATTCAGTAATAAGTTTAACATTCACCCTGGAAGGAGTTTTACTAAAGGAGAGTTTACAGAGACCTGAAACGCTGTTTGTGAATGAAAGGTGTGACGTATTCAAAAATACCCGCCGACGTGTGGACAAGGTCTGAAAGTCAGATGGGACAAATTATGTGATGACAGGAAAGGGAAAATGCTGAGTAAGCGTGTTGCTACAAAAGTTTCAAACGAAATATGTAGAAGTTATTTTATTGATTTAAATGTGATGTATTTCTTCCACTAAACAAACAGGTTACAAGTTTAGACTCTATTCTGATGCCTAACAGGAGACGTTGGAGGTAGCTGCTGAATTAATAAAGCATCTTATTAAAGATTGTGCAGAGGTGTGTGTGTGTGTGTGTGTGTGTGTGTGTGTGTGTGTGTGTGTGTGTGTGTCTGCAGCAGATCTGCCTCTGCAGCTTTTCTTCTGCGGCCGCAACAACTTAATTTTTTACTCGGGGAGGATTAGAGGAGAACACGTTTGCACATTCGTCTGGTATCACCCCGAGGCCGCCCGACACTTGTGCTCCTCAGACCTCCTGCCAGCAGAGCGCTCCAGATAATATGCCTCACATGTGGAGAAAACAAAAGACTCTGCAGGATGGAGGTGGCAGGATGGAGGTGGCAGCACGGGGCCGGCTTAGGATCGACATCAGAGCTCAGATAGATGTGTGTGTGTGTGTGTGTGTGTGTGTGTGTGTGTGTGTGTGTGTGTGTGTGTGTGTGTGTGTGTGTGTGTGTGTGTGTGTGTGTGTGAGGAGGGATTACACATTATCAGGCTGCTGTAGGTTGTCAGGTTTTAACCTTGATTGTAAAGACGATGCTCGCAGTGGGAGTTTCCCCTGAAGAGGTTCTCCCCGTCTTCTGATGAACAGAGACATCTGAACAGATGGCGGGCATCTTTTCGTAGTTTTTGATCTTGTTAATTGACCTCTGGATTTAGAAAGCATCAAATGGATCATCATAAGGATTAAGAGATGCATTCTGGAAAGTGCATGTTAACATTTTCTTCATGTTGTTCCAGGCTTTGAGATGAACTGTTGTTGTTCTTTTCACTGACGCAGCGCCTGCAAGAGTTTGTGTCACGCATCAGGTGTCATCCCCTTTCCTCAGAGATCCTACAGGAAGCATAGGGAAGGTCACTTTGGATCTGTTTGAATATATCCTTTATTAAAAATGACTACATGTTACACAAATAGGCTGAAATACTCACACATGCACAAACAGGGTCTTATGGACATGCACTAAAGGAGAGGTGTGAATTGGGGGCTGCACATGACAGAGCGCTTGAGCTAGTTAGGTGCTGAGCACAAGCCACCTCAGCAGTACTCAAGAAGTCACCTGGCACCTCTGCAGCTACCAATTTCTAGACTTCATCCGCACCAGGACTAGAACAGATCCAAGTCTCTACAGACTGAGCTCCTGCCCCCCAAGGATTGCAGGATTGCCCCAGTTTAAAGCATGGTATCCTGAAAATATTTTAAAACTCATATAGGTTCTTGTTCTCCGGGCGTTGGTGGTTAATGGGTGCTTCCTGTGTGCGGAGGCTGTACTGTAGTCCTCTGGGCGGGTAACCCGGGTTCTAATCTGACCTCTTTGGCTCCTTTCCCGCATGTCATTCCCCCTCTCTCTCTCTCTCCCTGATTTACGACTCTATCCACTTTCCTATCTCCAATAAAGGCACAAAAAGCCCCAAAAATAAATCTTTAAAAAAATTAGGATGATGCATTGATTTACATTTACATGCCTCATGTTCTGTGTTACTCAGTGTTCTCTAACACAGTTTAAATACACAAACAAGGCACCAAGTGTCAGATTTTAACGCTGATTGTCTGAATGTGAGTCAGTGAGTTGACGTCATATTGTAATTTGTGCTTAGTGCTGACATTTCTGCACATGTTGAGGCTTCGAGGAAAACATGTACATCCAAACACTCCTCATGTAACCAAATGATTTGTGTGTGTGTTCCAGTGAAGGTTCAGAAGTCGGACCACCCCCACTCATGGGACCCCTGCGTCAACTACTGTCACACTGCAAACTCCACCCTCTGCAACACAAGCTCCACCCTCAACAAGTCATGGACGGCCTCCAACAACAACACCATCAACAGCCTCGACTACTGCAAGTGTAAGAGCAAAACACAACAAGGAAAAAGGAGTGACGGCGAGCTAGAGGAGCAGCATGTGGGACGCCACTTAGGGAACACAGCGACTTGTGCACTTGGATCACGGCCATCGTCGCGGCATGCCAGTCAGAGTGGCACATGCCGCTGGACCGAAAGCTCCATGTGCAAGTCTGGCGCTTCTGGACAAGCGGCATGCCGGTCAGAGAGCCTCATTCTGCAGGACCAAAAGCGCCATGTTGCCAGTCAGTGTGGCACATGGCGGTTCTGGACAAGCGGCATGCCGGTTGTGGGGGCAAATGCCGCTGGACCGGAGGCGCCATGTTGCCAGTCAGACGGGCATACAGGGCTGGACCAGTGAAAACTCTCATTATGAGCCTTGAGGAAACCCAGAACAAGATCTCCTGCCATTTCTTATCTCTTCATTATGTGGACGTTAGAAGTCGTTACTAAATGTTATTATAGTGCCCCCTCCTGGCAGATACCTCAACTCAACCTCACCAATAATGGGAGAGAGACATGACATGAGTTATCTTACTTTTCTCTCTCTCCCTCTGTCTGTCTCTCTGTTTCTCTGTCTGTCTCTCTCTCTCGCTCTCTCTCTCTCTCTCTCTCTCTCTCTCTCTCTCTCTCTGTTCTGCAGCTTTGGTTTCTGCCAGTTTCTCCCCGGGCTCTACGACCACGTCGGGCCCCAGCAGTCAGAGCTCCAGCACCCTGCCCCGACCTTCAGTTCCCATGAGTCCTCGGAACTCGCTGCTCAAACGGCGGCAGAGAAAGAAAGAACACAAAAGTTCCTGTAAGCACGCCTCAACGATTCTCTATTTTTTAAAGAGAAGAGAGTGATAAAAATGAATCCTGCTTCTGTATGCCTGTGTGTTTAGTGTCTCTGGCGTCCAGCTCGGTGGGTCCCGGTGGTCAGGTGGTTCATGTAGAGACCAGTGAGGTTGTTCTAACAGGCGACCCGCTAAACGGCTTCGGGGTCCAGCTGCAGGGGGGAATATTTGCCACAGAGACGCTGTCAGCACCCCCGCTGATCAGGTTCATAGAGCCTGACAGCTCTGCAGAGAGGTGAGCACACACACACACACACACACACACACACACACACACACACACACACACACACACACACACACACACACACACACACACACACACCGAAACACATACACACTGTGACGCTGGGCGCTGCACTTTTCATCCAGACGGCCGCTTTCTGGTGCGAACGCTCTCTACTCATTGAACACAACTGATAAAAGATGCTAGTGCTGAGAAAGAAACGCTAGGTGGACACGGGGCCTTAGCCTTGTGTACTCTCATCGCCCCCTAACGTAGACTGACTCAGTCTAATAAAACAAAACAAGCATAAGAAAAGTCACACCTCCATGAATCACACAATTATTCTTATCAGCCAAACGTATATATCTATAAACATAGAAATATGCAGAATGCAGAATCAAAGACACCCGGGGCTTAAAGTATAGGGGGCGCTATGCTCACGCTCAGGGTGTCAACGATCCAGCTGACACAATAAGACCGGGGTTTGGAAGTTAAGGAAGTAACCAGGAGTTAATTTCAAAATGAACGCTGATATAAGGATAAAAGGAATGACAAGCCAAGCTGTGTTTACCTCCAGGGATGTTCTTTGAAGGCTCTGACTGTGTGTGTGCGTGCGTGTGTGTTTGATCTGTTGGCGGTGTATTAGCAGCTCTATGCGATGTGTGATGTGTGTGTGGGTGTATGATTATAATTTAACATTTACTGTACATGTGTAGGCGGGGTTTAAATATAAACACATGCAGCTGTGCGTCTCTCTGTAATCCTGTTTGTTTGTGTCATTATTTCACTTTCATTCATGCATTTGTCTTTACAACATGAAAGAGTCTCTCTGCATAAGTTTTTTATATTTTGCAGCATTGTGTTAGTGTCTGAGTCAAGTATCCCAATGTGTGTGTGTGTGTGTGTGTGTGTGTGTGTGTGTGTGTGTGTGTGTGTGTGTGTGTGTGTGTGTGTGTGTGTGTGTGTGTGTGTGTGTGTGTGTGTGTGTGTGTGTGTGTGTGTGTGTGTGTGTGTGTGTGTGTTGATTTATGCTCCTGTCGGATTAACAGCCTCTCTAAGTGCTGGGTGTGTTTCGGCACCCCGAGGCCACACTCCTTTCTCCATTAGCGCCCACACTAACAACACTAATTAGCTAGCTTCCCTGCGCCCACGCTGGATGAATCAATAATTACCCTCCGTCCTGTTTGACAGGCGGAATCCAAATAAACCCCGACACTCCGCTGCCACACCACCCCTCAATTACACTTAACCACAACTAATCGTCTTTAAAACTGTTAGCATGAGCAGCTACATCCTCCTTTAACCTGTAAGTGTTGTATTCAAGACCACACTAATCGAGACCACGACATACCTGAGACCAGAGTGCTCCGAGAACGAGACGCGACCAAGACCAAGACCAAGACCAAGACCAAGGCAGGGAGAGACAGAGACAAGACCAAGACATTTAGGGATCAGGGCCAAGTCAAGACCAGAACCAAGACAGAGAGAGACAGAGACAAGACCAAGATCTAGACTGAGTCAAGACCAGAACCAAGCTGGAGAGAGACCAAGACCAAGACCAAGACCAAGGCAGGGAGAGACCGAGTCAAGACCAAGACATTTGGGGATCAGGGCCAAGTCAAGACCAGAACCAAGACAGAGAGAGACAGAGACAAGACCAAGACCAAGACCAAGGCAGGGAGAGACGGAGACAAGACCAAGACATTTAGGGACCAGGACCAAGTCAAGACCAAGACCAAGACAGGGAGAGACGGAGACAAGACCAAGATCTAGACTGAGTCAAGACCAGAACCAAGCTGGAGAGAGACCGAGTCAAGACCAAGACCAAGACCAAGACCAAGGCAAGGAGAGACCAAGTCAAGACCAAAACCATACCTAAATGCAAAAATAGCATTTTGCATTGATTAGAAACTTGTGAACTTGGGAGTTGTCGTTTTTAGAAACCCTCCTTTCCAACATTTCTGACATCGCCATGGTTACTCCTGCTGTAGGTGCGGCCTGCTGCAGGTGGGGGACCGCCTCCTGTCGATCAATGGAATCCCCACCGAGGACGGGACACTGGAGGAGGCCAATCAGCTTCTCCGAGACGCAGCGCTGACCAACAAGGTCTCTCTGGAGATAGAATTCGATGTAGCAGGTTGGTGAAGCTAACGATTCTCTGATTTATATCGCCAGTATCATTAAAAAAAAGTTGTTAAAATCTCTGATATGATTATCTCTTCTGTAATAGCTCGCCTATTTCTTGTGATTTGTGTCAGACACCTGAAGATGCCCCCGTGTGTCAGATCTTTTTTTAGTTTCAGAATCAGAATCAGAATCGGGGTTTATTGCCAAGTACATTTACACATACAAGGAATTTGGCGTGGTGTATTGGTGCTAAACAATTAACAAGGAAATAAAGCAGAACTAGCAACAACTTAAATAATACAGAATAAGAAGCTATTACAATATAAAAAATAGAATTTAAAAATGTAAAATATAAACTATAAAAAATAAAAATAGAATTTAAAAATGTAAAATAAAACACAAAAAGTGCAATGTAGGAGCATTGAAGACTACAGAGCAGCCAGCGAGAATTAAAGGGAGAATGTGCGACTTGTTCCACATAAATAAATCATAAATCCAGTCTGTCCTGTGTAAACGTGTCTCTGAGTCATGACTGTCTACAATGAGTGAGAAGCTCGAGTCCCGCTGGCTGTGTTGTTGTCAGAGCCGTGTTTGCATGGACTTGTGTATAAAAGCTGTTTTAGTCAAGAAGTAGAGAGAAGAAGAAGAACATACTCACTGATTATTTGGATGTTAGTAAGAGTTTTTAGATCACGCTCATTCTGTGTCAGTTTACATGCAATGTGAAGCTACAAGCTAACTGAAGAGCGCTAACATTAGCATGCTAATACAACAATGCAGAACACAGGTGATTGTAGCTGGCCTGAGACCAGAGACAGGCAGCACCGTGCCTCTTGGTTAATGGTGTTGTGGAGAGCGTTGGATACAGTTAGTTAGCCAAAAGTGCACAAGCCCACATGTCTGGGGTCTCCGGGTCTCTCCGGTGTCTTCAGCACCAGGCTCACTAGAAGCGTTTTGTTGTTTAGCTCGGTGCTTCGTTCTTCTGAGAGAAGTTTTCCTTCCTGCACACGGACTCCAACTCACCACTTAACTCGAGCAGAGAAAAAATAATGTCAGTGTTTCTGAGACACTTGTGATTATTAACATTTTAAAATTAACTCTAAAAATAACAGCCAGCCAGTGTAATATCTGCAGAGAGGAGAGAGATGTTTTGAGGATAGTCTCCTGCCTCCTTCTTTGATTTGTTTTATTGCCCTCAATATCGTTTTTGATTTCATTTGATTTCATCTCTCTGAAGTCACTCTTTTTGTTTTTGCTTGTCTCCTTTCTTAATGTTGCATCATCTCATGAGTTGATATCTCCATCAAATGACTAGATTAAAGCGTTTATTCACAGATAAATTCCAGAGAGGGAACAAGGATATTTGATCATTAACCTCAGAGGCTGATGCCGCAGATGTTGGTTTGGCAGCAGCTCATGGAGTCGATGTGATCCGGTTTCTGTGGCTGTGAGGAACAGCATTACATCAAAACACAAAGAACTCTAACTCTCAGAAAGGGAAGGATGCAAATTATAAATCCCCATATTCAGATTTTTTCCACTTCAACTCAATGTTTTCTCGCCCAGGAAGAAAAAAAAAATCATTCTCTCAGCGTCAGGATGTTTACAGGAATCTGAACTGAGGAGCTGAAGTGTCTGTTTTCCTCTCTCCGTGTTTGTGCCTGAATGCAGCAGAGATGTTTCACCGCTGGAATTAGTATTATTAGTGTTCTGAGTCACGCAGGGCAAACAGAGGCGATGTTTGACCGGCAGACGAGCCAATCAGAGGAGATCAGAGCGAGGGCTGAATGTCGGCTAATTACAGATGTTAAGCCTGTTTGTTGCTGTTAAAACGTTTCTCAGACTGTTTGACTTTGTGTGTTTCTGTGTGTTTCTGTGTGTGTGTGTGTGTGTTTCTGTGTGTTTTGTTGTGCAGAGTCCGTGGTGCCTAGCAGTGGTACGTTTCATGTCAAACTGCCCAAGAAGAGAGGAGTGGAGCTTGGGCTCACCATCAGCGGTATGAACACACACACACGCACACGCACTCACACTAACAGGGAAGTACACACTGACTGGGACACACACACGCACACAAAATTACTAGGACAGACACACACACGCACACACACATACGCACACACACTCACTAGGACCCACACACACTGACTGGGACAGACACACACTCACTGGGACAGACACACACACACACAAACTGATTGGAACACACACACACACACACGCACACACACTCACTAGGACCCACACACACTGACTGGGACACACACACACTGACTGGGACAGACACACACACACACAAACTGATTGGAACACACACACACACACACACACACACACACACACACACACACACACGCACACACACTAAACAAAGTTCATAAGATCTATTTTTTGTTTTGAAATGCTGCTGGCGGAGTGTTTAAATGTCAGGAGACCACCCCGCGTCTGCTCAAACACACACACACACACACACACGTTTCCCGTGGTAACCGCGGCCTGCAGGAACACTCAGCTATAAACACCGGCGATGTTTATAAAGTAGTATAGATACCAGGCCAAACATTCAGTCTCTCTTTTTTATTCTGCTGACATTCATCTCGAGCCAGCGGCCTCTCGCTGTAAGTTTGGCAAGACGAGTTCATTCGTACAGTGCCTTCGAGACACGTTGAACTTTAAAGTGCTTCACGGGGGCAGGAGAAAGACGCTGCAAACACGAGTGTTGCGTTCAATGGACACTAAAATATCATTGTTTACCTGGGATGTGTTTAAACTGAGTGTGCCAACGTACACGTCTTTTATATAAGAGTGAGGCTTGGTGGCATGACCGCCTGCTACATGTTTAAATATTTAGAGTAAAGAAATATAAACTCATCTATAAGCGGCAGAGCTCATTGAGTACTTTATAAAGAGAAAGTAAAAACCTGAATAAACATGGAATTGTTAAATGAGCAGTATGTAACGCTGACCCCTAGTGTTTAAAATGGGTACTGCAGTTAAATTCTAAACATTGTAGAGAGCTGCCTCCCCCCTCCTCCTCTCTAGAGTGGATGCTCACACAGGTTGCCATGTGGTGAACACTGAAGCTTCAGTGTTTATCCAGCTCTGCATCGGTCTGTAAACCTTTCTGTGTTCTGACCTCTCTCCATTTTTCAAAAGCATCTCCAATATTGATCCTAGTTTGAGCACGTTTCTGCTCCTGGAGCTTATTAGAAACATGCAGAGGCTTTTTAGGTCGGGTACAATCACTTCTATCTGAACCAGTTCTCTTGCCCGCTTCCATCGCTGCAACACCTGTTGGTTTGACTTGATAACTGCTCTGATGACACCTGAGGGGTTTGATATCATTCATTCTCTCGATTAAAGTTTCTTGCCCGTTGGAGTTCTGCTCGTTAAAAGCTGTTAACCTACATGGCATTAAAACCTCAGACTGTGGTTTTATGAATAAGAGGCTTCATGCTGAGAGTGATGCAGCAGCGCCATCTCCTGGTGGGAAGTTTCTACAGCTCAGAGTCAGAACATTCTCACAGTGCATGAAGTGATTCACTGATTTCTCCACACTCTGCAGCATGCTTCTGTTTTTCTCTTCTGGAAAGTTTCAGACGAGAGATTTATGACAAATTTTAACTCTTCTTCTTCCTCGGCCTCAGTGTCCTTGTTCCTCTCAGAGCCTCATGTCTGTTTGTTGTTTTTCTTGTTGTATTTGTAAAGAGAGGCGATATCTTTGTTCTTATACGCTCTGTTTGATGTCATCTCTCTCCACAGCCAGTAAGAAGCAGGGAGAGCCTCTCATCATTTCTGACATCAAGAAGGGCAGCATGGCACACAGGTACGTCGTCTACTCTACTCCCTCCTGTTGATTTATGGTTGCTGACTGAACGCCAAAACTCTTACAAAGGTGAGACAGAGACAGACGGATGTCCTCGAGAGCAGGCAGGCCAGCACACGAGAGACCAGGAAGTATGGGGGACATGTGCTGCGTTCAGGTGCTCCTCGGATGGGCCGGGGTTTACGAGTTGGGAAGTGTGTTCATGTGCTTTCAGTTTGGAAAGTCTGAATGTTTAACAACAGCAACAAACAACATGGATGTTAGTGTTGTAGTACTCGACCGGTCTTGGTCTTAAGACCAGTTTCGAGTCCACTTTTTTGAAGGTCCTGTCTCGGTTTCAGATTGGGCGGTCAAGAGCATCACTGACAGACTATTCCACGTCATTACTGAGATTAGAAGAAAAAGGCCTTTCCGATATTTATGGTCTTGGTCTTGGTCTTGAGTCGGAGTACTCTGGTCTCGGGTCTGTCTTGGTCCCAGTTAGTGTGGTCATGAATACAACAAACAACGTGGATGATATGAAGACGTCTGAAAGTCCTTGAGCAAAAAGTTGATGTTCAACAAAAGTATCTGAACATGAACAAAACATGTGATGATGAAGTCCTGCAATTAATATAAACTCCTCCTACTCACCTATATTAACCTCTCCACAGTCTACCCCCCCACACACCATACCTCAACGACCTCCTCCTTCCCTACACCCCGTCCCGTCATCTGCGGCCCTCATCCACAGGCCTGCTCCCCCCCCCCCCCCACACACACACACACACACACACACACACACACACACACACACACACACACACACACACACACACACACACCAGACTGGAGACAGAGCCTTCAGTGCCTGATCCCCCCCCCCTTTTTTTGGACATCTTCAAAAATCTCCTCAAACACCACCTGGTCACCAAAGCATTCAGAGCAGAGAACGGAGACGTTGTGGCAATCCTTAAACTGGCTCCCTGAAATGTTTTGGAGCGGACGTGTTCCTGTCAGACAAACACAGAATACCCCCCCCCCCCCCCCCAAATTCTTGTCATGAAGTTCCTCGAGAGCAGCGCGTCAGAAACCCTCTTTGTGTGTCTGTTTGTCTCCTCCAGAACAGGAACTCTGGAGCCCGGTGATAAACTCTTGGCCATCGACAACATCAGGCTGGAGAACTGTTCCCGGGACGACGCGGAGCAGATCCTGCAGCAGTGCGAGGAGCTGGTCAAACTAAAGATACGCAAAGACGAAGACAACTCAGGTACACGTGTGCTTCTGGGTTTAAAAATCCCCTCCCATGTGTGGACGAGGAATCAGAGTCAGCCCTGTGATGGACTGGGGATCAGTCCAGGGTGTGACCCGCCTCTCCTCCAGCTTTGATACATATACATATACATATATGAATGGATGATGTGAAAACTGTAAAACAAGGCTGTTTCTGAAGCGTGCTGTAAAAGCGTTCATACAAACTGAATACATAGAAATGATAAAAACTCTCCCTCGCGGTCTAGTTTGCTTTTGTAGCTCATAAAGAAGCGTCATGATTAATATCAGTCTAGTTCATAACCAGATAAATCTCCTCACAGGAGATAAGGTCCAGGGTTCAGTTTATTGAGATGCACTTTGACTGTTTGTCCACCGTGTGGTGCTGTTGTCCAACATTAAAAGACTCCTGCTGCTGCTGCTTTAAGTCATGATGCTCCATGGCACAGCTCGATTCATCCCATTAGAGGAAAGATGAAACCGTTTGAGGAGTAAAGATGAAACCGTTTGAGGAGTAACACATTATTTATTCAATAGAATAAAAACAAATGAAGAAGAATCTGGAGGAGAGAATCTGGATCCTCTTGATGTAGTACTCTCATTTTCAAAACACAGAACGTGATTTCCAGCTAAAGACCCTTTTCATGATTTAACAATTTAAAGGCCACCATCTTGGTTTTTTTTTTGTCTGAAATGATGTCAAGAGCGTGAGATGTTGCACTGAGACGTCATCGTGCTTCACTGTGTGTTTGATGAGATGTGATTACATAATAGAACTGGATTGTGAGTCAGAGGATGTGTTCACATGAATACACACACACACACACACGCATACACACACACACACGTGGGGTATGGAATGCAGAGATTATGCATTCATACTTGGTGATGACGATTCACACTTCTCCCTGGTTACCATGGGAACTTGCTCTTCCTCACCAGTGATGTCTTGACGAGTTTTGACCTACTTCCGGAGTTAAGTGTGTGTGTGTGTGTGTGTGTGTGTGTGTGTGTGTGTGTGTGTGTGTGTGTGTGTGTGTGTGTGTGTGTGTGTGTGTGTGTGTGTGTGTGTGTGTGTGTGTGTGTGTGTGAATTACATTTGACCTCATCACACAGTTAACTGAAGTATTTTTGTGTTGACATGTTCTAACAGAGCTTCATACATGAAGCGGTTTCACTACTTTTTGTAATCGTGGAATAACAAGCGCGTGTGTGTGTGTGTGTGTGTGTGTGTGTGTGTGTGTGTGTGTGTGTGTGTGTGTGTGTCTCAGACGAGCAGGAGACGTCAGGCAGCATCATCTACACGGTGGAGCTGAAGCGGTACGGAGGCCCTCTGGGTATCACCATCTCAGGCACCGAGGAGCCCTTTGACCCCATCACTATATCCGGCCTGACCAAGAGAGGCCTGGCCGAGAGGTACACACACACACACACACACACACTCACACACACACACACACACACACACACACACACACACACACACACACACACACACACACACACACACACACACACACACTTGTAAATCCAGGTTTAGGATTGCGCTGTGTCTGTGTTTTGTTATTGGATTTTTCTGTGAGCATGTTCGAAATATTTATTGCAGCCTCGACCTTGTCGCTCCTTGTAGAGTGATGACATATTATATTAAACCCGAGTCGGAGCCTGCAGGTGGAGCGCTCGACCGGGAGGATGTGTGTGATTGGTCTGTGTAAAATCTGTGCAGCCCTGCATGGAGTAAAAATGTCCTAAAAAGAGAATGAAGTCAAACTCCTGTAAACATGTTAATCTCTGCTGTGAAAACAGGCTTTTTAGAATGGATGTGTATGTGACTTCCTGTGCTTCTGCAGCCAGCCTCTAGTGGACACTCGAGGAACTGCAGGATTTTACACTTCAGCATCGGCTTCATTTTTAAACACCAGAGGTTGCCGCTTGGTGCCTGCACTCCGGCCGGTCTCTCATTAGAGGGGACCTAGCTGACAAAATCTCCTATAGCTAATAGACTTACTATCGACGAGTACCTCACATGACCTCAATTCAAAAACACCAAACTGGGGCGCTGGTGGCGCAGTGGTTAGTTCAAACGTCCCATATATGGAGGCAATAGTCCTCAACACCGGCGGCCCAGGTTCAAATCCAACCTGTGGCTCCTTTCCCGCATGTCAATCCCCACTCTCTCTTTCTCCCTGATTTCTGACTCTATCCACTGTCCTATCTCTCCAATAAAGGCACAAAACGCCCAAAAATAAATCTTTAAAAAAGTAAAAAAATAAATAAAAAGACCAAACTATTCCTTTAACAAGTCTGACATTTGCTGAAATAACATCATGATGCTGTGAACATTTCTGAAAAGTAAACATCACGCTTTGCCCGGTCTGTCCTCAAGAGGAGAAGAAAAAACAACTTTTAAAATGTTTGTTTGTTGAATGGACGTCGGATTGATCATTTCTGCTGCATTCAAGGAAGTCTGGAAATCGGAACGCTCATAATTTTTGCGACACAGCGTCAGGCAGATTTGTCGATCAACCTAATAGGTTTAATGTAGGCCAGAATAAATCGTCAGATAACCTCAGCCGGATCATGTTTTTTCTCTTCATACTGACCGTTTCTCCTGCATACAAAGCATGCTGATTGGTGATTGGTCTACGCCTGGTCTGTGGACTACAAACGTTAACCAGAACACTTTTCATCCATAAATCAGGTCCCACATGTTCAGATTCTAGTTTTCCATGTATAATATTTACAGATATTAGATAGTCAGGATACAGGGTAGATCAACGTCTCCCCCCTGACAGTGACGGTCCAATCTGTGCTTAGAATAACAATGATCTCGTCTGGTGTCAAAGGTCATGGCCGTCGTTGAAAGGTCACTTTTGTTCTATTGACTCTTCTGAGAGCAGACGCTAATTTAGAAACACAGCGAAGAGGTCAGTCCCGTTTAGAAACACAGACCTCCGACTACAAAACCAAAGACCTTAATTCTCCAATTCTTTGATTATTTCTGTATGGTCATTGTTAGCACCGCTCTACGAGTAGGTGTAAGTTTTTTTTTTTTTTTTACATTGTCCGCAGTGAAGATTAGACTTTTATAACTCTTTTCTGAAACATAAAGACAAAGAACAACAAAGAAATAATGTCAGAGAAGGAGGATAAGAACAGAGTTTGTTAGTGGTTGAAGACGATGATGAAGAGGTGAGTCTTTAGGGATTTCTTGAAGGTGGAGAGTTGGGGGACGGGGGTTTGGGATTGAGTTCCAGAGGGTGGGAGCGGTTATGGAGAAGGCCCTGTTCCCACCAGGACTGACGGTTAGACCTGCAGGAGGAGGGGGGGGGGGGGGGGGGCGGGAGGTATGCATCAGCAGACCTGAGTGTGCTGGTGTAAGGAGCTCAGAGAGGTAGGGGGGAGGAGCCAGGTTGTGGAGGGCTTTGTAGGTGATGATGAGGTGTTTGAAGTGGACACGCTGGGAGACGGGGAGCCAGTGGAGGTTATAAAGGACGGGGGGGATGTGGACCTAACATTTTTCCAGGCAGAAAAGCGGATGGAAAGAGGATGTGGATACACGACATGAACCGTAGGAGGTTAAAATACAGAGAATGTCATACATTTGGAAAAGAGCGCCGATGACGCCAAGAACGCCTCTCTAGAAAGCTGAAATATTTTCAACTTGAGCGCTTATAAAGAAGACGCTGGGAACTGCACTTTTCATACAGGTGGCCGCTTTCTGCTGCGAACGCTCTCTACCCGGCTGGCGCTCAGAAAAAAAAACGCTAGTTGGACACGGGGTCTTAGAAGGCGAGCAGCAGAATTCTGGATGTATTGAAGTTTCTTGAGTGTTTTGTATGATTAACTGTAGATGAGACTGTTTCAGGGATCCAGTCTGTAAGTGATAGTATACCGTATTAGGAGAGACAATAAAGAGACCAGGGAGCAATAAATAGAGGGATTCCCCCCGCCACCGCCGCCGGCAGCTGAGCGTGCAGCAGGTGCTGCGTGACATGAAGTCACGACAGATGAGTTGATGAGAAACACGACGCTGTGGAAAGACGGGATAGCAGCAAAGAGAGTCCACAGCATGGAGATGACATAACAGGTTTCCTGAGTCTGAATCGTCCTGTGGTGGATTCAGCTTATATCCAGATCACTACACACACACACACACATACACCGACACACACACACACACGCACACAACACCACGCACACACCGACGCACACACACACACACACACACACTCTGTGGCCTGGTTTCTTGGAGTCTGTGATGTAATTGTTACTTCAGGACTACTTCCTGCGCTGTGCCCTGGGACCTGTCGGCTAAAAGCTCTCTATAAATAAATGTGGCTCAGCTTGACACAAGAAGAACGTGCAGGACGATGGCTGACATCTACATCGCTGCATCTGGGAGGCTTCTGGGCGACCTCCACGCTGACCCCTTTTAACCGTTTGAGTGATGTGATTCTGTTAAAGTCAGTCAGTCAGAGAAACTAAAGACATGAAATAAAGTAAACACTCTGTAAAGCACACAAATACAGCTCCAGATGATGTGAACATGACGTCTGAATGCATGAGCGATGATCTCAGATAACCACTCAAAAGAAATAATCATAGGAAGGAAGCAAGACAAAGGAGAGTTCTTCATCATAAACATGTTTTAAATTAGGGAATCAAAAGGAAAAGGCTACTCTCCCCGACAACACAACCAGGACCGAACAACTTCATTACAAATACCTCAATTTAGATGACTCTCTTTGGAGGCGAGGAAGGAGGAGGGCCAGCTTACCCAGGTCCTTTTTTAAAACTGGCGCCCTCAGGTATCCTCCAATACGACGCAGCACCAACTTCTGTTCTGTCACTTGCTGGCCCTCATCGTCGAGGGCGAGTACCTGCAGCGCAGCACAAAGACAGATCCAATAATAAACATAACATGGGTCAAATCTTTAAATCCAAAGTTTCTCTGCTCACATTTCCTAAAATAAATCTTTCTGTCTCCGCATGGTGTCTCTTCAGCGATGACTTGAATTGTGTTCTGATGTTTTATTTATTGAACTATGTCGTATTTAACCCCTCGTCTCCCATAGTTACGGCGTTCATCTCAGCGTGTGACTGCTTCTCTTCTCGTTGTTTCAGGACGGGGGCCATTCATGTCGGCGATCGCATCCTGGCTATCAACAGCGTGAGTCTGAAAGGCAAACCTCTGAGTGAAGCCATACACCTGCTGCAGATGGCCGGAGAGACGGTCACCCTGAAGATCAAAAAGCAGCTCGACAGTAAGGACGAGAAACTCTTCCTGATGCTTTTCCAGAAGTCTTTTTTTTTATGATGCCTGAAATCCCTCAAGGCTTAGGGTTAGAATCACATCTCCACATTGTGACGATCAATCTTTGTTTTATTTCGTCGACTAACCAGAAGCAGTCACATTTCTAAGCTCTCTGAAGATGTATTTGTCTTTTGATTAACCTTTTTTCCCCGGGTAAAACTTAAAGCCAACTATTTCCTCTCAAAGATTTGGAGGAGAGGAAGGCGGCAGAAGCAGAGGACACGACGGAGAACGAGATCAGCGACACCGAGGAGGACGATTTGACAGACAGCCAGCAGACCAATAAGCTGTCCGAGCTCTACTCCACGACCATCCCCAGCGTGGACTCGGCCATGGAGTCGTGGGACGGCTCAGGGATGGACGCCGGCTACGGCAGCCAGGGTGAGCTTTGGATCAACACAGCAAAGTAGTCTCAAGCTTTATTGTAGAAAAAAATCCAAACGCTTTAAATTCAAATTCAACATACTTTTACAGTTGTGAAATCTACTTTGTCACTCCTCCTGCAGGGACGTACAACCACCAGGCAGCGGGTATCGCACTCCACCCACATGAGTGGCGTAGCGCCAAACAGCAGCGCAGCACCACGCCCCCTCCTGGACGCAGGAAGAACTACCCCTTCAGTGACGGAGGCTTCAGTGAGGATGACTGGGACAAACCACCCGGGTAGGACTGAACTTTATTTTATCCTTCAGCTTAGAATAAACTTCTGTATCCTTGCAGACCAATTATGAAGTTGAAAATCAGATCCTTAGTCCAGGTGATAGTTCACCTTTAAAGGCTTTATATGCTTTTCACCCTTAAATGTAAAAATCAAGTATATCCTCTGAAAATAACTCTGTGAGTCATGACTGTCTACAATGGGTGTAACACCCGAGTCCCACTGTCTGTGATGTTTTCAGAGTTTTCAGAGTCCTATCTTCAGTTTGTTTACATCGCCGGGATGGCCGACCGGCTCCTCCCCTCGTGTACAAAAGTTGTTTAATTGAGGGACTAGAGAAAAGAAGAATAACATACTGTACTCACTGCTTAACTGTGTTTCTAGATCACGCTCATTTCGAGTAGATCGACATGCAGTGTGAAGATACGAGCATAATAAAGATCGCTAGCATTAGCATGCTAACACAACAATGCAGCGCAAGTTGTTTTGGTTTCATGCTGGTGCTCAAGGGCAACATCTGCTGGATATAAAGCCTATAAAGCATATAAAGCCTTTAATGTAACGATGAGATTCGGGGTGGATGTGGGTCAGTGGGTAGAGTTGGTCGTTTCTCAACCAGAAGGTCGAGGGTTCAATTCCAGCTCCTGCAGTCACATGTGTGTTTGAGTTTCTGTGATGAGTCAGGGATTACGCCTTGTGAGGACAGCGACTGGGGTTATATAACACTTAAATGGGGTGGAGAGATAAAAATCTGCAGCACAGTGTAAGTGGATTAATCTTGTCAGTGAAGGACGTCCGGTGTTCGAAGAATTACTCATGTTGGATTTATGGAAAGCGAAGAGGCTTGTCCTCCACCGACACGGCTCCTGGTTCTCACCGGCTTTGTCTCAAACACATGAAGGAGATCAAGGAGGGTCTGCTTTCTATTCTGCAGCAAATATTCACATCACAGGGACTTTTTCATGGTCAGGTAGTGTTGTAGTCAAGACCACAGTGATGAGACCAAGACTTACCCCAGACCAGAGTGCTCCGAGACCAAGACAAGACCAAGACATTTAGGGAGCAAGACAGAGTCAAGATCAAGACCAAGACCAAGGCAAGGTGAGACAGAGACCGACACAAGATCAAGACATTTAGGGAGCGAAACCAGGTCAAGACCAAGACCAAAGCAGGGTTAGACCTATTCAAGACCAAGACCGAGGCAGGGAGAGATCGAGACAAGACCAAAACCAAAGCGTTTTTCTTCTAATCACATCAATGACGTGGAAAAATCAGTGGTGGTCTTAACTGGTCTTGATATAAAATCCGGAGTCAGCCCAGTCCAAGACCAAGACCAAGACCAAGACCAGAACGAGTAAAAATGCTTTAGATTCCGATTCGAGTCCAAGACCTTCAAAAAGTGGTCTTGAGACCAAGACCAATTTCAAATACTCCAACACTATGGTGGGATTACTGTTTTAAGATACAGCAAAGAACAGGTTAAGAAATAACACTGTATTCATTTCATACATGTCTTAATCAACGGCCAGAGATGTTTTACTTTTGATTGATTATTTATTTGATTATTTGTTTTTTATGTTTGTGTGACAGATTTATCAGCCAACAAGATGGTATCTTGTTAGATCCAGACGACAGTTTCTGGTGTCAGGCGCTTGAAGATCTGGAGACCTGCGGCCAATCCGAGCTCCTCAGAGAGATAGAGGTTAGTGAGCATCTTTACTTCAACCTCTAACTTGTGTTTAAAGGTCACATATCCTTCTCCTCTTCAACCAGTTTAAATAAGTCTCAGCAACCCCAAAACATGTCCCTGTGGCCACCACCCGTCCAAACCGAAGAGAAACTTAAATGTACTCTAAAGTTAGCGTTAGCTGGAGTTTAATGGTCCATGTGTGCTGGTTTTGTGCAGGCATCCATCATGACCGGAACAGCCATCAGTCTGGGAGTAGATGGAGTCAACAAGCCTCCACCTGAGTCCATCCTGAGCCACAGCAGGATGAGCCCGCTCCGGAGAAATTCTCTCCTACACCAGGCCAACTTCCTGCACCAGAATGCACACCTCCACCAGGGAGCCCACCTGCACGAGGAGGCCCACCTGCACGAAGAGGCCCAGCTCCATCAAGGTAATTTAAAAGGAAATATGCAGGATCAAATGGTACTGTCTTTTCAAGCCCAACTGAATTTTACATACATTCATCTTGTTTAGATAAAATGTTTTTTTATCCAGACATCCACCTGCACCAGGAGGCCCTTTTCAACCATGATGCCCACCTGCACTCGGGGGCCCACCTCCACCCGGATAACCAGTCCCCTCTGCTGCACCACGACCCCAAGTCCAAGGCCTCCCTGAGAGTGTCGGAGAGGACATGGGAGTCTCGTCGGATCAAGGAGGAGATGCAGGGGATTCTGTCCCCAACGCCTCTAGAGCTGCACAAAGTGAGTTACATAAAACAAACCAGACTGAATAGGTTAGACCACATTTGGGAAGAGTCCCAGGCAGCCGCTGATTAAGTGCAATAAATAGTTACAGCACTAAAACAAAAACTTATTGCCAGCGCTGGTTTCTTTCAGCTGGTTCTAGTTGAATCTGTACAAATGACTCTTTGTATCCCCAGTTAGAAAAGGACATTATGTTTGTACAGTGCATTATATAAATAGTACATAATATACAGTGTAATTGCCCGCCTCCCCCCCCCTCCCAGAACACAAAACACTCTTTTAACCCAAGGGAGAAAAAAACATTAAATTCTGATTGGTTTAATGGCCTCCAGCCAAAACGTGACAGCCTCTGAATGGTGCCTCATTTACAGATCATACGTTCTTTATATATCCGTATATATTATATAGAGTACTGCCTGTTCTGTTTTTGTTAGGAAATAGTTCTTAGTAAAAACATCTGGCATGCATTACAAAAAATCAGGTTAGTGCTCTACAGTACAATAAAACAATCAGTAGAACCCCACTTTTAACACACAGATACATAATATGTTTGGCCAACCTTTCCAGAATGGTTATGTGCCGGTTGATCTCGGAGCTTTGGTACCTCCATATTTCACGACTTCAGCATGCGTCCTCTCTTCATCCGTCGATGCAGTGAACTCCCTCCCATATTTCAAAGGAGTTGGTGGCACAAATAATACGTCAACACATGAATAAAATAAAACTGAAACCAAAGCCGAAGTCCACTCTTAATATGTCTTTTGTCTCCTGTAGGTCACCGTCATAAAGGACCCAGAGAACGACGACTTCGGCTTCAGCGTGTCCGACGGCTTCTTGGAGAAAGGAGTTTACGTAAACATGATCAGACCCGACGGGCCTGCTGACCGCTCCGGGCTCAGACCGTACGACAGGATCCTGCAGGTAATAAAAGAAAGAGAACTCATTTAAAGAGGACATAGTATCCCCCTCCTCCACAATTTCAAACAGTCCCCTGTGGTCTATATGAAACATCTGTGCTGTGCTTTGGTCAAAATATAACATGAATGAAGCACCAGAGGAGGTTTGTGACCCTGTATAAACCAGCTCTCTCAGAACGCTCCGTTTTGGTGTGTGTGTCTCTTTAAATGCAATGAGCCCCTCACACTCAGGTTACCCAAATATATGTTCAAAAACACTGTAGAAGAGGAATTTTCATAATATGTCCCCTTTAAAGTTCTAGGATGCTACAAAGCAGTGCCATTTGGCAGAGCTGCCATCACCTGTGTCTCTGTCTCTGTCCAGGTGAACCACGTGAGGACGAGGGACTTCGACTGCTGCTTGGCGGTTCCTCTGATCACAGAGGCCGGGGACAGACTGGAACTGGTCATCAGCAGGAACCCAATGGCAAACGACGACGACGACGATGAAGACGACTTAGAGGACAATAACAACACTTTGGACCACCTGCAAGATCTGTAACACACACACACACACACACACACACACACACACACACACACACACACACACACACACACACACACACACTGAAAGACAGCGTAAGACTAACAGAGACGTGCTTTAACTGGTGATGAAGTGCAAAGGTACATCTCCTGGATCTGACCGAAACAGACAAACCCCGCCTGCCGGCAGTAAATCTACTAAAACACAGACTCCTTCACATCATTGCATGCACACAAAGTCTCCCCCTTCCACATCCATGCTGGATTCAACTGCTCTTATATGTTGCATTTCTCCATATAAGTACAGCCACAGATCAAATCCCACTAGAGACCCCCCCCCCCCCCCACCTCCACCTCCTGAAGGCTGACTCAGAGTCCTCACTGCGCTGTTCCAACATAAACAACCACTTACTTGCCACTTTAACCTTCCATTTCAACAGATTCAGACTCTTTAAATCTTGTTTTGACTGAAAACAAACAACTCAAACCTGCAATTTAGGGTGAGGTAATTTCCGCTGTTATTAATGCCAGGCCACAGATTTATAGAAATGACTGGTGCACCAGGGGGGATTTGCCTTATTACATAATATTGTGGGTGATTTTTGAGAGACAGGGCCTTGTTCGGTTTGCAGAGTTTCATGTGTTTTTTAAAACGATCTGAGAAGAAGTAAGAGGTTTGAACAAACGTTTATGAAGGAAAAGTGTCTCACTTTGGTTTACACTGATGTAGCCGTGGTAAAAAGTCTGTTCTGCTGCTACGATTCTGCTGCTCTTCTGTACAGCCCGACCGATTAATTAGCCAGCCGATAATATCGGCCGATATCAGCATGTCCAGTGACTATCGGTATCGGCTAATTTTATCTCATAATATACGCCGATATTACTCGATTTATTCTCCAGTCAAACAGCATTTAATTTGATTTTCAGAGCATTACACTAGCAGTTCTCGTTCACCAGCAGAGGGCGCTATATGGATTACAACAAGTATCATCACTCTGCAGAGTGATGTACATAAATGCTCAGTTACTTTCCAGTTTAGTGACCATCTTGTCTTTCCACAAGTGTTTGATAACTGCATTTCAGAAATCAATCTCTACAGATAGAACATAGATCTAAGAAAAATATCGGCCAATATATCGGTATCAGTTTTTTTTCTCTAGCCCCAATATCGATAACGGTATTGGAAAAAGCCCGTATCGGTCGGGCCCTACTCTTCTGCAATTTCCAAGAATCATTTCCCGGAGAGTTTAACTTCTAAAAGTCTTCTAAATTCGACACATCTGCACAGTCAAAGTCGAGCAAAGTGATATTTTTTAAACATCTGAATTTGCACAATCAAGACAAGATCCAGACCATGATAGTAGTCAATCTGTTTTTATTTAATCCAATGATTATCGGAAACTCCAGAACGGAAGGATTTGGGACTTTCTCAGCTCTACTGACAAACTGAACGTTTGATATAAGATAGAAGTTATTTATGAATGCATCCTTTGCTGTAAGAGGATTGGATCACTGTGCCCCGGAGAGACTCCGTTGCCAAAACAAGAACATTGTCTTGCTACATTTTGACCCTATTCCTACGTGCGAGTCGTCGTTTGGTCTTTGCCGATCGATCCCTGCAGCTCTATGAGACGGACGAATTCAGCTCACCTCATTTCAGGTGTACAAAGCCTCAGAGCATCAGCCACTTCAAAGCTGCAGAGTTCATGATTTGGCTCCGGTGTAATCGCAGATAATAACTATTTATGCCAGTGAAGGTGCTGTGTGTTGCATTTCTGAGAGCTTCAGTTAAACATTCAGGTAAGAGACATTAATTTAATTAACGTTTAACAGGAATTAAGTGATGATCAGCGACCACAAACAGAGCTAAAGCCGGACGTTTTTGATGAACACAGAAGAAGAAACAAAGACGTGATTGAGGGATCAAATGTTCCTGAGCAGACTGTTAATACTTTAGTGTTTCTGACCGAGCCTAACTAAAGAGCAGACAGGTAACAGCAAAGACGGCATCTTTCTTACATTTATTTTGTTACACTAAAATATTTAAATTAATAAAAAATGTTATATATGTTTTGTTATTGAGTTCTTACATTACCTCAAGTATTTCCAAAAGTTATCAAAGCCAGAGAAATCCTTCATTTTAGAGCCATGACAGACACAACATGTTTGTTGTTGCCGTGGAAACACTGGATGTCGCATCAAAGGCCCCTACATAATGAAGCGTGAGCTGTTACTGAAAGCTGCCGTCCTGTTGCTGTATGTGCTGCTGTGATAAAAACATTACTGCTGTCGAGTTTGTTTTCATCAGGGGTGGGGGAGGGGAGAATCACTCCCATGATTCCCTCTCTTCCCCCACGTGGTGTAAGGGCTAACGGTTAAAAAACAGGTTTGAGCCTCTGAGCGAACAAACAACCTGCAGAAAGCACAGACTCGTCAGTGTGAACACAGAGCTGAGAACAACAAAACCAGAGGGTCGCTTTAGCAAATCATTGCTCCACAATATTAGATCTTTGCTGTGGATTAATAATCAGAATGTTGCATTTCAAGCCTTTAAAGAACAACTTTCTCTCAAGTCATCGTTTTGGACGTCATTTGCAAAACGTCCCGGCTGCATTTTTACTTCCTCCTTATTCACTCCACCTGAAATAGCTTCACCCACTTTTTGCAACTCAGACGTGAAAGCATTGTAGTGAAACAAATGTAAAGAAACCCGAACCTACAATTTTTTGACTTTTCCGAATCCGCCCACACCGGCTGTGCGTACCTGCTATTTTTGGTGAGTTTGCTAACAGCAGAGATTCCCTCCACTCATTCCTTCCTGTTTGAAACTCAAATCACTGACAGATTCACAGAAACCAGACATGCCGTTTGCTCTCGCCCTCTCGTGTACTTTCCAGCGTGTCTGCAGGTGACGTTTTTATTATGTATATTCCTTTGAGTGTGGACTTATGCAAGCACAAGAACGAGAATTAATAACACGGTTTTTAGAGTGTAAAAAAAAAAAAAAAAGAGAGAAATAAAGAGAGGAGAGAGCGGCGGATTAATCTGTGTGGGAATGTACGTGTGAAAGTGAGGGAACAGAGAATAACCTTTGTCCTCCGCAGGGTTGGAAAATAATTCGACAGGAACAATCACAACCTCTGTTCTCGCTCCCTCTCTCTCTCTCTTTCCTCACATTGTTACACACAGTCAAAATCCAGCTGCCCCCTCTGAGACCGCCGAGTGTGTGTGTGTGTGTGTGTGTGTGTGTGTGTGTGTGTGTGTGTGTGTGTGTGTGAGCAATGTTTCTATGTATACTATACACGTGTATTTACATGTATGTATCTTAAAGGATGTTCGTTTTTTCCCCCATTTGAGCATGTATGAGCATGTGTTTGTGTGTGGATGTGTAACAGAGTGGGAGCTATGGTGGTGTACATTTCACTGTACAGAGGTGATTTTTTTTTTTTAGCGGGGGATGGGGTCCGTTTGAATTTTTCCGTCTCTGAGACTGAACACAGAATACGAGTCAGATTTTGAGGGCGAGCTAAGGAAACTTTTTCATAACTTTGACTTCTCTCCGTGAACCGACTACAAAACAAAAAGAAGCACACTGTTGAATACCATGCACTGTAAGTACGTTCATGTTCGAGTGGTTTTTTTTTATACGCGATGTCAAGTGGCCAAAAAAACAGTTTTTGTAATGCAACAAAAAAAAAAGATGAAAAGCCTTCTTTATTGTTCTGTTAATTTATTTATATGTACTGTACGTATGTTTGTATGTGTGGTCATCCATACTCACTATGCATCTCTGGGTAGAAGGTCAGTTTGAAGCCCAATCCGGAAACGCAATGACAGATGAACAATACATGTTTTTCAAGGTCATTTTTTTGCCTACTGCCTTTTTAGTTAGAAACAGGACGATGGATGGAGTCAGAAATCCGGGAGCGAGAGTTGGGGAAAGGAGCCACAGGTGGGATTCAAACCCCAAGACATCCGCTTGTAGGACGACAGCCTCCGTACATGGGGGCATGCGCACAAACCATTACAGCCAATTTCAACATACTCCGTTTGCGCAGCGGTCTGTAGTCTTGTAGTTCTCCTGTGATGTGTGAACCGCGGCGCTGACAGACCACAGCGCACACAGAGTATATGGAAATGAGGAGTTACTCTCTCCCTGATTTAATTCCCTATCCACGGTCCTGTCTTTACAATAAAGGCAATAAAAAAGTGCAGCGCCAGGCCGGATTTGAACCCTGGCCGTCCACTTGGGAGGACCACAGCCTCCGCACATGGGGGCGCGCACACAAACCACCAGGCTACCAGCTCAGCTTTTAATGACATTTTAATTCCATTATTTGCATTTTAAAACAGTCTAAAGGTACAAAATAGAACGCTATTAATGCAATAAAAAAGTATTCATTTATTACGGACCTTGAATCATATCGCGATCAATGGGTCAATGCATCCAAGCCAAGAAGGGACTTTCAATAATATACAAATCAGTCGACTTGTATTTTTGCATGTAAAATTCTCAGGTCCAATTTCCTTGAATTAAAGTGAATATTAAGCTGATGGAGGAATTTGAAACAGACGTTACGATCGCGTCCAGGAAAAGTAAAATTGCTCTGAGCCAACTTTAGTATTCTGGAGCGGTTGGAAGCACTCTGAAATTAAAGGTGGTGGGCGCTGCTAGCTTAAAAAAAGCTGTTAATTGACACGGGCGCTTGATCAGTTTGATAAGCATTCATACATGTTATACTGTAAGCTTGCCAGTTAGGCACTCTTCAGATAACTGGTCAGACCTGACAATCCAGTCGCCATTACGTCTGAACTGGAACCCAAGAAAGATGCGACTCTGCGGGGGGAGAGGTTCATGATTCAGTGTTGTCGTCAAGACCACACTGACATCATCTTGTGAGCAGGCGGCGTGTCACTCACTTAGACCGGGAAGGTAGTGGCTGTAACCGGGGGATTAAAAAAAAAGACAATCAGTGGTGGTCTTGACCGGTTTTGATTTAAAATCTGGAGTCCGCCAAGTCTGAGACGAGACCAAGACCTTCAAAAAGTGGTCTTGAGACAAAGACCGATTTTGAGTACTACCATACCAACTTTTAAAACTTCTATCTTATGATCTGTTATTCATTTTGGTTTCAGGACTTCTCTCTCCCTTCCTGATGAATCACAGGAGAACTTTCCACACAGACTTATTGGATTCTTGCAGACCTTTAACCCATTTCAAAAGATGCTCTGAAAAGTATCATCAGACATCGTTGCGGTTCGGGATTGGGCCTTTAACGTATGCGTTGATATTGTGTAGTATTTTTTTTTTTAATTGTGTAAAGTTCTATTCTATGTAAAATAGTATTTTTCTATGACGACGTAACTCTTCCAAAACGAGGGAGAAAATACAAAACAAACTGATGAAGGGGGAAAATAAAAATGTATATCTTTGATGTCGTTGTTGTTTTGTTTGATTCATTTTCTATGAAATAAAGACTGTACTGCTATACTTCTCTTTTTGAGAAGAAGAGATGAAAAAAGGAAAATAAAAAGTCTAATTTTATGGTTTTATGACCTCTGTCCTCATTTTTGGTAGAAAATACACTGATTGTTCGAACTTGAAGTCTCAGTGGTGCCTTAAAGGTCCAATCAGTGAGATATGTAGTGAGTGAAATGATGAAGTGACCTTACTGTGTGCTGGCTTCTCTGACAACAATGCAGCAGCCAGTATGTCCTCCTTCTAGCTTTAGATTCTGGTCCTGAATGCTCTGGATTTGTTTGGACCAGAGAAGGTAGGCGGTTTTAAGGCACGGCCGTTTTGGACGCCCCCCTTGTACCCGACCTAAAAAGCCTCTGCATGTTTCTAATAAG